TTTGTTCAAGTGTTTTTTCCTGAACTTGACAAGTGACTCTTGCAGCCCAGAGATATTACAGTGCCCGAGACCCTTCCCCTAACATCTACTCCTTTGAATGTTGAGATTCTCGGCCCAGTTGTTTGACCGAGCAAGGACGGTAACACTTACCAGAACGGACAGGCTGGTGGTATAGTAGATAAGATAGCCTGCGCCACCCAGTATGGCTATGACTATGAGATTGAGGAGGAGACGTAGTATGTATAGTTTGCATTTCGTCAATGTGGTCCTGTTAGCTCGTACAAGCTTCTGCCTTGCTTCCTCAAGATCAGTCTGGAATGGAAAATGTGGATATGATCGGAACTAAATATTCCTGACAAGAAAAGGATGGCATCCTTGCTGAAATCGAGTCAATACATGTATCTGACATGACAGATCAAAATTACATATTGATTGCATGGCTAAAATGTGGCTTGGCTCCTGTGAACAAATGTACAAATGTATACATATATATAGGGATATCCACTGTACAGTAGCTAGAAGTACCCTCTCCTGCTAAGAAACGACAGGCTGGTGGGAACCTTTCAACTGGACTAGTGTGCATGTCCCACGTACATTTTGACAAAGACTGGTCGAGCATGCTCGGCAGCAGCCTGTGCCAACTGCACAGGCATCTGTGCTTCCATGTGCACACGTCTTTCCTCCCAAATGACATCGTTGCTACACGTATGTTAAATAATGCCATCTCTTGTTCCCGCAGGGAGCTAATAGCCCACTCTCAATTAGCTTTTGGTGTGCATTGAGAAAAGTATGCCCGACTTCATTTGGACATTTTTGACAGAAAGTTTCCAGCAACAGAGAGTTCAGCGAGTGCTGCCGCCTTGCAAGTGCAAGTTCAAGTTCAAGTGCATTGAGAAAAGTATGCCCGACTTCATTTGGACATTTTTGACAGAAAGTTTCCAGCAACAGAGAGTTCAGCGAGTGCTGCCGCCTTGCAAGTGCAAGTATACGAACCTGGAATATGTAGTGGATGCTGCGATGCTTTAGGTAGGCATTTTTCTCGTCTGTCAGCGAGAAGTCCCACGCTGCAAAGACCTTGTTGCAATACTTGAAATGATAATCCTCCTTGTTACCCAGGCTCTCCTTGAAGCCACGAGCGGTGCTGCAGAAGCGACCAATCAAAACACAGTAAGTATGTCACATGCACTGGGACAGATTTCAGAAATCTAATATTCTTGGTCGTACAGCAGTTGCAATAGGATGACGTATTTGGATGTTTTATTTCTTTGGCTTTGAAAGTGGCACAACAGTCCAGTTGATTTGTTTTACATACAGTTTGAAAGTTCACCAGAAACAACAGCAGACGTTGAATTTCCAGAGTGTGACAGTGACCACATAATAAGTTTCAGATGTGTGTGGAGGTGTTGTCGATTCTTTCACATGCGAGGACAGGGTTGCATCAGCAAGGACAGCTTTTCAAGATTGTAGTCCTCAAATGCATGTCCTTCAATGTAACTAGTCCTAGACTTAGTGTTTATATGCCTGTTTAATCTTTTTCCTCTGTTTTAAAAATTGATTCTAGGTTAATTTTATGTCACTGTCTGTGTTCCGTTCTTTATGTATCTGGTAACATTTTAGGACAGCCATTAGACAGTGATTTGGTTAGCTTTTTGGCAATCCCTCAGGGGTGTTAACACTGTACTATATGTCCATGTTTGGTTCTTAATTTGTGTTTCTTTATATTGTTGTTTATTATATTACCTGAGATATAATAAATGAATAATAAAATGAATGAAATGAGGACTGGTCTCTATTATCGTCCCCATACATGTATGTGGGCCTGCATATGCATAGCTGAGGACTAGGTCAGCAGCTGGTCGTCAGCCTGGACTGTGTTTGTGTTATGTTACTTACTACTGCACCATCAGCAGAAGTGATAGCAGGAAGTAAGCAATTGTCGTCAGCAGATAGGCTAGAGGGAGAATGTACACGTTATCCAGGAAAATGGTGAGATCCGAGCTGTTGCTGTTACTAAATGATGGTGGGTAGTCACCGTAGAACAACTCTGTCTTCTCCATCCAACCCTGCAGTCAATATATACATTAACAACAGTCAATTAATGAGAACAGCCGAATATATATGTGCCAACATGGTGAAAATTGGAAGTGACGGAAGGAAACACCAACACGAGACAGAAATATTGACAACTAGCCCACCTGGTGACACAGTTTTGAAACTCACTTTCTCTGTAGAATTACATGTTAGCGGTGCAATATATGCACATGTTTACTCCAGAAGAACCCTCTAAGTTTTTCTCTAAATGTTATGACACTGTTTATAATGATATTTTAGTGACTTTTCCACTGAGGTCAGTGTCTGGTCACTTTGGCACACCTTTCTATGGAAATCCAATGGGACATAACATTCTCTAAAAGTGTGTATTTTGTAGGGGTTAACTTTTCAAACTGACTCAGCTCAAAGCACATGCCAGCACATACAGGCATATGTAAACTCTTTCTTGGACCGAACTGAAATTTCACAGTTTCAAAGTTATAATGGATGCCTTCAAGGCTTGTCAAGGATTTACTTTCAAGGAGGAACCGAGGACAGCAGTCCCAGAACAAAGAAATGGTTTAATGAAAACTTGGCTAGTTTAAAATTAAACTTAAAATGAACCTTCTCAGGAAAGAAGGGGGCAATTCTGCCTCCTCCGCTTCATATCACAGCTTTACTTCAAGAGCTTTTATCCCCAAATGAGCACAGCGAATGAAAGACTTTTGGTTTTTAAGCACCCTCCATCCTAACTCTGACACTCTCTCTAACTCTAACTCTCACTCCAAGTGAGCCTTATGTCTGAAATTTTATAGCTTGCAAAATGTAGGTGTGACATGACTTTAACTACCAACAGTCCGACATGAATAAATAAATAACTCAGAGGCACAAAGATGTGACGGTTGAGTTACAAAATGTAAGAACGGATTTTGTGTGCCCCTAGGGTTAAACTGCGATTGCGATCCATCAAAATAATACGCTGAATTGTAAATCTGGTCTCAAACACAGCAATCGTTAAGAGTCCATTGTAACTTATTTGTGCTGTTGACACAAAAACTACTACAGATGTCAGATCCTTTCAGTTTCAATGTCAGGCCAAACGGACATGGCTTTTTACCATTGTACAGAGGCCGCATTGATGTCTTCTTCCCTGTGTACTTTAGGATGCTTAATTTGCTTGTAAAGGTAACACATTGGCCACTTCCTGTGATCTAATGCTCCATGTAGCATTCAACCAACCAAACCAAATGCTGTGTTGCTATCTGCTTACCTGTACATGTACCCGAATAACATTCTGGCAAAGTACAGGTACATGTAGGTACAGTGCATGGTCATGTAGAAAAGGCAGTTGACATACTTGATTTTTTTAAGGTTAAAAAACTAGACAAAGTTGCTTGAAAGCATCTTTAAACACACACATCTAAACAAATACCTGCAAGCAATGTACAGAAACAATGGGAGAGTCTACAGCATGCTTAAAAGTAGACAATTTTGTCCTCCCTACCCATCTTTTTTTAGAGCACTGGTTACAGCAAACGCAACTTCTTGTTTGTTGGCCCTATTTAAACATCTGTCAGGCAACTATTATTCTTCAAAGACTAGTATGAATCATGAGCATGTTGCTGATTAGGCCACACTTCAACAAGACCTATGTACTACTGTCACTCTACTTGGGTGTGTAGATTCCAAATGTTGAAGTGCACACAAATGCGAACTATAGGGCACTTATGAACAGGATTTACAAAATTCGTAGAATTGTGGAGCTATTCTTTTGAATTCCACAAGTTCAGCTTGTGAAACTGGGATAACATTAAACAAAGATTGTGCATTTATGATTGTGGGTGTCTTTGGGCTCAATAGGCCTAGGCTGGAAAAATACCCTGGTGCACGCTGACTTTGCAGCATTCGTGAAAACAGAAATTTCACAGTTAAGTTTGCAGAGTCACTGCCTAGGACACAAATAAGACTGACTCTCATCCAAAACCAAACAATGACAAATGGTGCGCGTTGTGGCTGTGTGTATATGAGTTTATTTCTACATACAATCACAGACATTGAACAATGGAAGAAAACAGGTCCCTGCTCGGATAACATACGGGAAAGATGTTGAAATCTTAAATTTGGTTTAAAAACAAGTAAGAAAGGATATATTTATGCCACGTAAAGTTCTTGGTATGCTTACTGGAGAGACAGCTTGATTTTGTTTGATTCAACAAATAGCTGTTCTCACCACATTTAACACAGTGCAATTTGAAAAAGGTAAATGTACTCACTGTTCCACCGATGAAGTCGATAATACATTGGCCGGTATCTCCAGTGTTACATGCTTGGTCCACACTGCTGCTGTACTCACTTTCACACGTAGTGGCTGTTGAAGTGTACAACCAATTTTCAATCGTGAGTTATGATGCCAAGTCCCAACTAGGACACATTTTCCCACATGAAACCCGGATTTTAAACACAACGTGGATCTTGTTTTAACATCATCTACTCTCCAGTGTTAACATCAAACCCCAAAACACTTTATGTCAAACTATATTACTTTAAACACCCTTAGAGGCATATCAGTACTTGATGACATCAGAAAGTTTACACATTCGGCAGAAACCAACATAGATTTGTTCACCTTTTCCTTGGTATATGTGCATTGTGTGCTGCATTTTACATGTGAAATATACATGTACCATCCCCCAGAGACTGGCAATGTGACTGCTCCAGGCTGATGAATAGGAGCCATTCAGATATACGGTATTGTGCACCCCAAAGATTTATCCCTGATTTCCAGCACCTGGGCCAACACTGTTAGAACTGCACAATGCTTTATGAGCTACAGCGCTCTGAAGACTGCTGACATCCAAGAAGTAAGATCGACTGAAGTTAGTCAGCAGAAGACATTTTTTCATTGATCGCTGCATCCCGAGTGGTGACAAGACATGGAATAGATGGGTTTGGGTTGTTTAAAACGTGGTCAAGGTTTTACAGCCATGCACAACTGCTATGTAACAGAGTCACATGACACTGAACTTTTTCCACAATGCTGGGCTTTCATCTGTATTTTGGATCACCCTTGTTATGCATCTTTTCTCAGCCCTTCTTACAAATGCTGAAGTGATTACGTGATTGAATGATCACTTTGGTAACACAGAAAATGATGAGGAGACCCACTTACACTCTAAGTATCCCCCGCCAAGGATGAACTGCGGAATGACCACAAAGCCAAACATGAGGATGAAGATGTAGATGTTGAGAAACAGCATCCACTTGAGGAAGACAAAGTAGGAGACGACTGCCGTGCCAAACTTGCCTGTGAGAGAGAGATCAAATACTGGTAGTTGCTGGCACATGTCTCATTCCAAAGGAAGACGTTCCCTCTGAATAGTGAACAACTCACCTGCAGTGATGTGGTCCAGGGCATTTTGTACACTGAACAGGGCAATTGGCGTGCATGAAAAAGCCTCTCCGAAGATAACAAAACATTATGAACCACATAACAACACAGAGTATACGGTGAATTCTGATGAAAAGATGCAGATCTCAAGATGAATTAGCCAGCATTAGGGGAGCATTTTTAATTGTTACACAGTATATAGATACCAATCTAATATTGACCGATGTGGGCATGCATCTGTGTTTTTCCGGTCCCCACAATTAAACTAATGAACATACAACCTGTGAGTGGTCCATATAATGCATTTCATGTGAACAGTACATACAAGGTAATTTAAGACATCTTTGTGTCTTATACTGACACACTGCATGTTTATATTCTGTTATTCAATGTTTGGGACCATGTGTGCACGAAAGTCCTCACCTTCGACCTCTTTCAAAGAGGCTCGCCATACTTCAAATGTCAACACCAAATCGTACATCTTCTCTTTGAAGCGTTTCCATTTCTAAGGAGTGGACAAATCGGATCAGAGGATTACTACAGTTACTGGCTAAACATGAATGCCAAAGGAATTCATTGACTATAATCCCACCCTAAGGAAGTAACATTTTGGCTAAATGTGAAGCACAAACATGTTTACCCACCAACCTACCATAATTGTGACCACCTCTGTGAAAGTGATTAGTAAACCGCGGCCACTTTTGAGCTACAGGCCGTTGAAAGAATCATGCACTATGGAAGTCAACAGGACATTGACACTGTTTCATCCACACATTTTCAAGTTTCGTCAGGACGCTAAAATGAGTGATGCTACAACACACACACACACACATTCAGTTTGTTCTGAAGTCTTCATTCAAACTGGAAACTAAATTACTGGGGTAAAAATCATCTTTTTCAGTGTAAAGAGAAAGATAAATTCTGTGTTTAGCTTGGCCTTGGGGCAAGGGCAACACTCCAGTTGATTTGGGCAAGGAAGAAAGATTTCCTCCTTGGATCTAGCCAAGTGTCCAACTTGGCAATCTTCCCTGTTGTTCCACAGTGTTCCTTACCAGTGCTGTGTTGTACTTGAAAGATTTCCATCCCGACACCGCTTTGACCTTCCGTCTGCCATACTGGTTTCTGGGACCACAGAGGTAAAAAGGGGAAAGTTCATAAATGTACACAACTTGTAACAGGATTCCTTCACTTTTGTTAATGCTACCCCCTGCTGTTCATGAAATGTGATACTGAAATTGGAGGATTCAAGACTGTGAGGTTTAAATTTGGGTTATGTGTTTCCCTTAAGGACAAAAAATCTTGTTAACGAGCAATTTTTAATGTGGCTGAATCATATTCATCTCTGCTCCTCAACACAACCAAATAATTTCTACCCTCACAGTTTTTGGTTTGTGCTTCTTTTAATCTACACAGAGTTGATCCAAAACATGTTTGATAATCCCTTTACATTTTTAAATAATTAGACACACCTACATGTACATGTACGTGGAGGAACACTGGGAACTTTGATTCAACATGGAGTGTAGGCCTACGATGTACAACTACAAACACGTGTACATACATAAGTACATGTACCTTTACAGACTTACATGTGTGTAACAGTACATGTACCAGTATAATGTACATGTACAAGTGTTGGTAAAGCATCCATTGTACCAGTTCATGTACATGTACATATACCTAAGCATTACCAGAAAATTCAGTTTTTCAACTGACCATACCATTCAGGCCTGTAAAAGCACAAAATGTGATGCACATGAGTCACAGTTTGGTTACCAGGGCTGCTTCTATTTCGTGACTTACAGGTACACTGTGCATGTACAGGCTGTGAAAGAAATCTTCCAGTATGGAAATCAATAGGAACATCAGTGGTTTGGATCATGGACACATTCATTATGTCAGGATACCAAACTGAGTGATATATCAAACTGAGGGGCTTAATCAGTTTACAATGATCTTCTTTACAAAAATCCATGCGCAACAAGCATATAATCACACTAAGAACTATGCCAGTTTCATGTGAGAATAATTTTATCTCAAAATACCACATCAGATGGGTGAAGCACATAAAAAGGCCGACAAGTACATTTACAAGCACTGAATCAGAATAAATGGGTAAAAACTCTGTAAGGTGGCCAAAAATAAAACAAATACAGCAGTACATGTACATGTACTTTTACATGTACAAATACATGTATACGGTGAACTCAAGTCAAAGCTGTTTATGAGAAATCCTGATGGGCGCATTTTTAGAAAGTAAATTTATAGCAAACCACTGAAAATTGACAAACACACAAACAGGAAAAGCAACCAGATATTACACAGCATTATGCTGTATGCATGAATGAGCCTGAAGTGTACTAGGAACAGGTGGTTTGAAATTCAAAACCCATTCAGTCCAACCCTATAGAGTCAAAACCACACTATTTTTACTAGACACAAGTTCATGACTCAATGCAGAATAAGTATCTGTGGAGTGTGTGTGCATGCTGACATCAAGGTTCAGGTGAATGAGGCTGTTCCATTGTTCACACCATCTGCCCATCATGTTTGCTTGGTAACCTCCAGCAACGAGCCAAACCTTTTACATGTATGTCCATACATTTATCATAGCCTTTTGACACAGAAGAATGCACGCAATGGTGCCAAAATGGCAGAATGAAATCTACAGCAGGAGTGCAGCACCTTGCACACTACACAAATGTACATGTACATGTACATTTATTGGCACTTGCACACAAATGTAGGCTACAGGGTACTGCCTACTGGCAATGTCACTCAACCATATTCCTCCAATGTATACATGTAGCTCATATTATGGGTACGAATTTAGTCAAAATAACAATGTGATTTACATTTAATTCAACATGGTAACAAGATCCACATGAGGAAAAGAGAAAGAAACACAAATTAAGATTTATTTTGTAATATCTCCACCAAATGAGCATTGTACTAGATTTACAGTGACTAGCAACAATACCTGACACGTGAATTTAGTCTGGAATTTCTGCCTGTAACCCTTAATACATCTACACATATACTCGATTCAGCAATGTCCAACATCAAATTTGCCTGGCTGAATTTTGTTAATACCAGCAAAGAACAGTACATAATAGTTACATTTCCCTAGCAACAGTGCATTATTGGAGACTGCAAAGTAAATGTTATTTCTGGAGGTGAGTGAGAGATGAAGGATGCACATTTCTCAATTTTTCAAACCCATTTACATCCTAATAATGCCATGTACCCTTATAATTCAAGATCTGCCCAGGGCCTGAAGTGTTCTTTTCACACTAAGGCATTGTTGTGCAAAGTTAGGTGTACACCTTTGCCATTTGAGACATCACTCAGTACTGAGCAGGAATCACTACCAGGTGTCTCCGGAACCTTTCTCATAACAACAGACTCTTGTGTTACCCTGCATATGCTCAGTTATGAAGAGGCAGAGATTCACAAAGTATGTTTGTACTGCGTGTTGAGTCAGTTTCCATAGCAACCCACAATGGCAGATCAAATACCAACCAACTCCATATTGCAAACTGTTTGCCTACTGGTTAATCTTCAGAGTACTGGTACGTGTGTATCCAGTACCATATTCAGCATTTGTTGTATCAGACAATTTGACAACCAGCTTCGATCAAAGGAAGTTCAAGAGATAAAGTGAGTGGATGGCTCGGCTGTGTCAAGCGCCAATTCCTGTGTGCTGGACTTTGGAGCAAACGACAACCCCGCACCTCCCACTACGTACAAATGCCTAGTTTGATATCGTAAAATTGTAAAATGCGTGCATTGTGTTTGAACAAGCGTCTCCACTGCAGCCAAACATGTTTAATAAAAAACAGGCATTTTGGAAAATAAAAGTGAGGATCTTGAGCTGCAGTAATAACACAAAAATGAAATTTATATAAAATGTGAAAATACAAATGATTGTGTCTGCAATTTCTTTTTAAATACTTTACACAGAAAGTCAATGCAAAGAAAAGTGAAACTCTTTGGCTGACGATGTGTTTTAGTGATACATTGTACCAGATCAACTACACATACTGTTCTCATACGTACATTGTAAAAAAAAAATGAGTTCATGCATGTTCACAGTAAGTCTTTCAAAAATATTGGCACTCTAAAATTAAATGCTGTAATTGCATGTTACCATGCTGTATGAATTCATTTCTTTCAGATCCAGTAAAAATGCCCCAAACCCCCAAAACAACAAACTTAAACGGGTTACAGTGCCCAGTGCCTATCATCTGATTGGCAAATGGTTGATCACATGACAGTATTCATTGAATTATTCATCCCACGCACATCGCACATGTAACAGCAAAACAAAAATGAAATTTCATTCCGTTGGTGAACAGATTGATCCTCAACGTTTCATCTATCCCTCTGCAGTCAAATCTTCATGAAAGTACGTTATTCACATTACACTGTGTACATAATTCAGCTTCTCACATAGCGTAGGGGATGCAGGGATTGGATTTGTTTCAGGAGTTACTGAGCCATTGCATACAATAAAGAATGCTCCACTCCATCTGTCAACTCATGAAATTAATTGTACCGCACTCAGAAACATTCATTATAATTTTATGACGAAAACGAGATACATGTACTAGTAAATCATAGACTTAATAGCCAGACATTTCTTTTGGTTCCATTTAGCATACATGTACATGGACCGGTAGGTGCACATCATTTTTGTAAAAGTAAACACATATATCATACAATTTTCAAAGGATTCTCAGAGCTCTATCCAGAACTAATGAATGAGGAAGACATGCTGGTACTCTTTTATACCAATATCTGTGCTTCATGAACAGAATCCCCTTTGACAGTAAAACAGTTTCTCAATGTTTCTGTGAAGCACACAAACATTACAGGTACATGTACTCGGTTCATATTGCCAAATTGGAAATATAAAACAGCCAAACTTTTGGCTAGAGGTGAATATGCACATTTTTTGCAGCAACTTCTGTTCTGTGTAGTGCCACCTGTACACTACAATCACTTTCTTGCTGACAGCTCAAGGTTATGTCCATTTGGCAACAATGGCCAATAATGTATTTTACTTGAATAGATGAAATGTGCCAGCTTCAACAGAAACTACAGAAAGCGTTTGATGGAAATCATTATTACAAATGCATGTACAAGTTCCAAGACGACCGTAATTCATGTTCTACCTGATGTTTCTGATTTCTGCCAGACTTGAAAGTATGTGTACAGTACATATCAACCAGAGTTGTGACTCCAGTTGAGTCATAGTAATGTAGTGATTTGACTCAAGTCACTTGAGTCAAGTATGTTGAGTCAAGTCAAGTATTTAGCTCGAGCAAATTTGAGTCGCCAATATGTGAACACAATATAATAAGCCTCTGGGTTTCTGCTGTACATGTGGCCACACCATATCCTGCTCTCTCGATAACACGACACAAACATTTTAAACACTGTACATGTACCAGTAAGTCATTATGACTGGTTTTTTTTTTTTTTTGGCAGGAAAGTTTGCTTTCATTTTTTGGGACTCAAGTCTTATTAACTTTCACTCAAACTGGGTCTTCTGATAAGGGACTCAAGTCAAGTCATTTGCTTGCACTCACAGTGACTTGAGTCAAGTTGAGTTATTCACCTGTCAGGACTCAAGACCAGTTGCTAAAAAAGTGATTCAGGTCAGACTCAAGTCAAGTCACTGACTCGCGTTAGTCGAGTCACAACTCTGATCAACCTGTATTACATATTTGTGATGTGATCTGCAAAAACCCTTCACATGGTAAGCTGTGTAATTTGTGATTCAGTTTCTAGACAACCCAGAATCATGTTGTAGAAAACCTAGAATCGTGTTGTAGAAAACCTAGAATCATGTTGTAGACAACCTTGAATCATGTTGTAGACAACCTAGAATCATGCTGTAGACAACCTAGATTCATGTTGTAGACAACCTTTTGTAGATTTATGTTGTAGACAACCTAGATTCATTTTGTAGACAACCTTGAATCATGTTGTAGACAACCTTGAATCATGTTGCAGACAACCTACTGTAGATTTATGTTGTAGACAACCTAGATTCATGTTGTAGACAACCTTGAATCATGTTGTAGACAACCTAGATTCATGTTGTAGACGACCTTCTGTAGATTTACGTTGTAGACAACCTAGATTCATTTTGTAGACAACCTAAATTCATATTGTAGACAACCTAAATTCATATTGTAGACAACCTAGATTCATGTTGTAGACAACTAACTGTAGCTTCATGTTGTAGACAACTTACTGTAGATTCATGTTGTAGACAACCTAGATTCATGATGTAGACAACCTAGATTCATGATGTAGACAACCTAGATTCATGTTGTAGACAACCTAGATTTATGTTGTAGACAACCTAGATTTATGTTGTAGACAACCTAGAAAAATGAGTGTACGTGTACCGGTACATCAGAAAACAAGAGAGTGTCCACAGTACCTTGAAGTTTATATGCACCCACAGCAAAGCTTACCATGTGAAGGGGGTTTGCAGATCACATCACATTTTATCAAGCAGAAAAAGGTGACTTACAGTGTTTGTACAGAAAACTACATGTACTGTTGTACGATCGCTTGCTTTTTAGAGTCAAACACTTTTAACTACCCTACCATTGAATGTACAGTACCTATGTATTGGTGCAGTGCTGGTGTGCAAATGTGCTGTGTTATCATTACATGCACAAATACATGTATTTTGGCCAAAAACGTTTTGGGTTAAAAAAAAAAATTACCCTACTATACATGTACGAGTAATTAATGGAAATACGTGTACATAAGAAATACTAGGTCCATCTTAAAATATATGAAAAGTCCCACCTCTTTCCTTACAAAAAAACTGACCTGGAACTCAACATGTTTGTTTTTTCTTTTTCAAGTCCAACAAATGTCAATGAGATTGTGTACAGAGGACAATAGATACTACAGGCCAATACTCCTGTCTTCAAGTCAAATACACAAGTACACAAGAAGACCGAAGGCCATCACTAAAAACTCATGGCCACCGTGTGAGAAAAACTGCATTTATGACAGTGATGCTGGGAAAAAATGTCATGAACGTAGAGGATATTCCACAGTACATGTATGTGTTGGGCATGATTGGTCAATCTGTGAGATCGCATGACCTCACTGCACAATTTGTCCATAATTCAACCACTAGCCAGTCACCTTTTCATTTAATTCAAAGTTGAGAAACATTGTTTCAAAAAACAAAGCTAAGTCAGAGATTTACTTCAGCCTCGAGGCCTCAGACAGATGGGCTGATCGTGTGCATTAAAGTTAGGCCCTACTGTAACTTACGATGCTTAGCGGCTGATAAAAAGTAACGGAAAGAATGTTGGATCAGGACTGCCAATACTTTTTTCATATCATCTCAATACAGGTCAGTCATTGCAGAAATGCTGAAAATACATGAATCTGGGACGGACAACAATTCCTATTTTTGTTAAGAAATACTTGAAAAATTGTTTTTACTCCCAACAGACGAGACTCTGTACACAACCGTAGCAGTTCTTTTCTCCCCTCCCACCTCTGTAATCCGGGTTCGATTCCCGGCTCGGTCCACATGGGGATTGGGTTTTCAGTCCATACCTGATTCCGTGGGTTTTACCCAGAATATTCCTCTGGGCTTTTCTTCCCACCTCTAAAACTGCAACTGAGTTGTCGAAGTAATGAAGTTGGCGCATCTCATGGAAGAAGAGAAGAACTGCTTAGGCCTAAGTGGAGTCAGAATCATGTTCTTTCCAAAGTGGGCTCCTTTTAACCCTTTGAAAACCGCAAATAAAACTCACCGTAACTCCCTCTTCTTGTGTAATGTGGCCGGCATTTCCCGGATGATCTTGGCCCTGTTCTCTGCAGCTTCTTCATCGTCCTCTTGCGTGTCCAGCTTGTGCAGCTCGTACTCAATGGCGTTGTGGCAATGCTGCCGGCTGTAGCTCCCAGCCACTGTGCCGTGACGGGACACAGGCCGCCCGGTTAGGGCGTCCATCTCGTCCTGACCCGTCGCCAACTTCCCCACTTGGTCCGGTTGGTGGTACATGGCCGGCCCACTGACGGTGAGATCCCCGTGGCCTTCCTCGACTGCAAGCGCTTCTTCAGAATTCACAGGAACCACAGCATACGGCAATTCTACCTTATCTGCGTTGTTTTTCGGCGTGTACAAATCATTAGCAGGTGGAGATGAAGTGTCTCCGTTATCAGAAATCCCTAGAAAACCCAATTTTCGATTAAATTAGTCGAGGAATTCGTTAAGTTGCATGAGTTTTTTACACTCCGTACTGCGTAAAGTAAGTTGTGCACCTATAGTATAGTACATGTACAATGCACGAATATCGAATACGATAAAGCCTAGCCAGGGTCATACAGCACAATGGTCGCTAGCGCCTGACGGTGGTACTCATTCATTTCCTAACGTGTAGATAATGTGACAGATCGGGCGCCCTTCGTGAACATTCTCATTAAAATAATGACTACAACTTTGAAGAAGTTTCTATTGCTTCCGTGCTCATTACCAACCACTAAATAAGAATGAATCCAGTGGAAATTTCAGGTCTGGAAATGGTATCTATAAAATGATCACTTTCATTTTGAAGTCTAGAAACGGGGGTTACTTTTATTAAAGAGGGTTTTTGGGTGAAAAATTGTTTCTTTTTCGAAAACGTCCTCATTAATTTGTTTCAAAACAAAATGCAAACAAAGGAAAAATTAAATGCCTTTTTTTCAACGAGGATTCGAATCCAATCCTGGGACTGATTGGCTTGGATATAAAATTTTTGCCTTTTTAATACAAAACATAATTTGGACACTCGATCATTTACAAAAACTAACCTTCTGGAGTGCAGTGCACATACATGTACATGTATATGCTTTAAACTTCACGTGTGGCACAGCAAGAAATAACAATAAGTGAAACTTGGCAGTTAACTTGAATCGTGGAAGTAGTCTGTAGGGTGGCCTACCTCATCTATTCCTTGCGGGAATTATCAAGGAATTTTGTTGGTTAAGAATAAAGAAGGACATTGCCCCGATTTGCGCAAAAACGAAGCCGGACGTCTCGGTCTCACCATTATGATTTCCATCACAACTCCACTGCCACGACCCTACAAGTTACAACTCTCTGATTGTATCCCTGAATGTCATCCTGAATTTTGCTCTCGTCGATTTATTCAAGCTCATATTGGAAGTTCAGGATTGTACCACAATTTGTGGCAACGATTCAACGGTGTCACGAAGTATGTTCCTGGTTATACATACATTTTAAATAAAATAGCACTGTGAAACATTTCAAATTTAATACCCCATGAAGGGGCAAAGCTCTTTCGGCGGGTGACGGGGGCAAACTAAGCAGGAAACTGACAGATCATCTACAGTGGAAGGGGTGAATTCAAAGGTAAAAAATCGATTATTTTCACCCCCTTTATTATCCTTTCTCTCGTATAGTTCCTTTCCCTTTCGTCTTTATTTTGTTTCTTAATTTTTTTCATTTTCCAGGAGGCGGTTATTATCGCCCTTGCTCGCAGTGGCGTATTCAGCTTTTGGTGTCTGATGAGAGGGACAAATTCAAAAGTGAATGCGGCTTCAGGCTCATTCAACATGATGCTGGGGAGAAAATATCAAAGGAATACAGTCCCGATATCTTCCCTTTTATTTCGTGGTGTTATTTTCTGGGGGTTTTGGTACTAATAGTATACCGATTACTTCCTTTCCTACTCACCTTTGACATATTATTTGAAAAAAAATCGTGTGGGGGGGAGTTGTCTCCTTCCCCCTGCTGGATAAGCCCTTATTTGAACGCCATCAACATGTCTATACACTGTTAACGTTTAAAATCCATAAACGATTTTTCGCATTATGGTATTTTGCAACCTCCATCTTCCCTTGACAGCAATCTAGCGATGGCGTCTCTTTTCAACTGAGGGGTTGCAAAGCTTTCTTGAATTAAAGAATGAACAGGAAAGTTGTGTCTATGGAGCCCCCACTCGACAAGCAATGCTTCTTGGGGGTCTCCATCCATCAACTAAATATATATGTACCATCATGAAATAAAAGTGAAATGGTCCTTGTAGTGAGCACACGGGTGACTTGTAGAGAAATGCGGCACGATCAACTTACCGGACATGGTCACATCACAGCATCCTGGTCTTTCTAGAAATTGTCTTCACGTCATATATCGAAAAGGGTGTCGTTAAAATTTCAGTAAGCGTTGAGATTTTTATAATCCAGTTATGTACTAAACATACATCAATACAGTTACGACGAATATAACACGCAATTCAAGCAACCGAAGATGTTACCCAAAATCATTTCCTTCACTGATCACACACAATGCGCAATCGCCGGCCATTGGCATCTTTGTTATGTAAAGTAGCGGTTTTTCATCCTCCATCCGCCGTTGTTTGTTATGAATTCCTCACCGTTTTTTACCAAACATTTGCCGAATTATATGATATCATTGCCTTCTTACATAGTCTTTGTGATGTTTATTCCTGGGAGATCGAGTTCAACTCAGCGCATAATAATATTTTCGAACATTGTTCTGTGGAACTTTGAGGGGGTTTCGAGAGGTTCTCTGCAAAGTACGTTTATATAGAGGTGCGTTGTCTGATTTCTAATCCATAAGTGTCCATTTTACTCTGAGTCCGCAGAGCAAAAATACTTTGTACCTCCATTTCCCATTTACCCTTCATTTCAAGCCGACCTTAGTAGGTTTAGGACCTCCTCCGGAAAAAAAGGTTTTGAACTTTGTATTATCAAACAGAAAATGGGGGTGCTGGAAACTGTTTCGTTATCGATATTGCTGAATGGCAACTATTATGACAACCATTATTTGGGATTACCGCTGGACAGTGGACATGACGTAAATAGCAAAGATAACTTCAGCGGACGAGCAAGTCGATTGAAATGAAGAGATGAAAGGCCAAGAAGATGGCAGCCGGTTTGCAAATCACCGGCGGCGGAACAATTTTCGAAGTGGAGGGCCAGTTGACAGGCCATCAGACTTCGGTCACCACATGGCGTCATTCCTTAGTCCAATAACTAGAGCACCCAAAAGTGGACGATGCTAATTTCTCATTTTCAGCCAGTAGATTTTAACATTTTTAGAGTTCGTGTCAAGCAAACACGACTCACTTTTCTGTTTGTAGAAAAGTTGTTTTTTAATTTGATGGATCTCGCGGCGCCCCAATAATGGACAACATCTGACATCAGACGAACGCTGATCCCAAAATTGAACGGTCTTTAACGTCGCAACATCGAATTATATCCAACGCAAATTCCTTGCCTTATCAAAACCTTTAAACAAAATCTGAAAGTCTTCTGTTGCAAAAAAAAAAATTAGAAATTTGGGTGGTCCATTTTTGGTGCTCTGAAATTATGAACCAAAATAGCACCTTATCGGTGGAGATGAAGGTCAAGTTCTGTGAGATGATGGAGGCCTTATATGAGTCCTGGAGAAGAAAGATGATGCCTGACGCAACCGGGGGGGGGGCAAATTTTTTTCCCAAACTACATTGCAATGGAGTGTACTTTGACTGCATCTGATTGGCTGGCCGCAACCATTACTTCATCCATTCATGAAAACGTAACGATCGCAGTTCTCACGTAGTACGCAAAAGCTGTTCGCGATTACTGTCGCCGGATAAAGTCGCAATCACGACACTGTGTTTCTTGCTTGTTTCAAGAAGTATTAAATGAAAGAAAAAGAAAAGCACGCATACGTTTCGAGTAAATGTAACGATGCCCCTCTGTCATATGAATCTTATGTTAGTCGCTGCACGGCGGCAAATTGTACAATTTAAAGAAGGCAAACTCTTTTTTTTTAATATAGACAGTTTTACCAAGTAAGACTTTGTATCTATATATGCATGTATATATATACACATGTATATCCCTGGTCCCGATTTGTATAGTTGGATTCATAACTTTATTTAAAAAACTTCGAGTGAGTCCGAATTCCTTGGCCAAGCAAAAAATACGCATTTTCTCACTGCTTTATTTCCGGTATTTCATCGCTATTGTTTATATTCCATTTTACAAGCAACATCTGAAACATGCTCAGTGCAATAAAATTTGTGTCACTGAAAATCTTGCTTGTATTAGACAACAATAAGCACACTTACATTTACATCATTTCTTTTTAAACATAAGAGAGGCCTTGCTCTTGTTTTATGAAAATTGTATGCCGGTTTCATTACATGTACACGTACTTCTATTCTAGTATGAACACTGTTGATTCACCCCTGTATAATTTGAGTTTCCGAAAATACAAGAATCACAACAGGGAGACGCAGCCTAACAGTTTCTATTTAATCCATAAGGAAGCTTTTCCACTGTTTTCGCTGTTTCAGTTATTAGTGTCATAACCCCAAATTCTCTCAAATCAAGAGACTCGCTGTCAAGGGCTCTAAAAAGCACACAGCAAACTTGACAGAAAATACTGCTGAAACAATCTGTCCTTGAGCCCGTTGCTTGAATACTTTGCTACAAGAAAAAAAGGGAGCTCAAAGTTCAGATTGGGCTGTTATATGGACTTACACAGAAGACTATCAATTTTCTTGAAATGAATAACACAAATTTTCAAGCACAAGTACTAAAGCACAGGAATGGCCGCATTTTGTTAAAACATTCCAGCACTTGCTTTCCTAGTAAAGGTTGATGTGACTCACATGCAATGGAGGCAACGGGTATATTGAATGTGCATGGGTAAGCCACTATTGTGTCCCAATGATTAAACTTGAGAGAAGAATTATTTGCGATTAGTACTCGCAGTACTAAGTCCGTGAAAACAGTACCAGTATGGTTATTATTTAACAAATGAAACAACCACTCTTGTACAAGTTAATCATTTGTGTAAGTTAATCCTTGTGACCATATTGTCGTATTGCTACATTTATCACATAATTGTTGAGTTTGTTGCTGGTACTTAAAAAATGATATATATTTTCACATTGTGGCAATGACATCTATGAAGTGGCGTGAATTGAAAGTAATCTCAAATTCCAAAAGAACACTAATGCTCATGGTAAAATTACCATTTTGAGGTATGGTTTTTGCCAATGTTTTCATTTGTTTGAACACAACTTGCCAGATTATGTGGTGCCCTTCTTGGCCTCTTTTTGGGGACAAGTTGGCCCTTGTCTTGTACTGCAGCTTTACATTTCCGACCGAAGACATCGTCTCCCCCCAAGATGTGTGCTTCTTCATGCAACAGCAATAGGCTGTACCCCAATATGGACCCCTTTTCTACGAAGGTTGCCCCTCTGTCGATGACTTAATGACTGGGCTACTCCACAGTATTTTCCGAATGACATTAATGCTGAAACTGGTGATGAGTGAGTTCTTAAGTTCTTCAACTGTCTGATGAAGGTGCGTACAGCTGGTGCAAGTTCCTCTGGGTTCCCCCTCGTTTGGTCTGTGAGCTTTGATGCAAAGGAATGCAATCCTGCTTCCAAATCATCTAGTCTAAACTCCTGTGCAGAACTCCCTAGGTCTTCGTGCTGCCTTGTTTCTTCAGTTTCATCCTCATCGGAAGGAATGTTCATGTTGACTGAGTCAGGCACTTGTACCACTTCTTGCATTTTTGTCATTCTTGACATGGATCTTTCAGTGTGATCCATACGAAGGGGTTCAAACCAACCCTCAGGCACATGATCCTGTCCAGTAGCTAAGAAGAGTAATCTCTGGTGCATGATCTCATCATTGATGGGGAAAAAATTGAAAGACTGCACCTGACGGAACTTAACAACTGCATACTGAAGCTTACAAGGTGCACCGTTGAGGCCTGCATTGCATGTGCACATTGCCATTGACATGTCAACCTTCTTATCCGGATCTGACTCACTTTGAACCTCAAAGAGGGGGAACTCCAACTCATTCACCATCTCCGCAGTGATCTTACCCTTCCTGGGAAGATATCTCTTGGATATGGTTACATCAATTCGTCCAATGGCTAGATCAGATAACCTTCTTTCGTAGTAACTGACAATTCTTGTCAACAAGAAATCCAAAAGCTGAATAGGATTGTACGCCCTTACACGCTGAAAGATCTGATCCTTTATGATTCGCATCGAGGCCTCCATATAGTTAGTTGTGTTATTCCCATGGAGAGGTAGGTCACGTCTGAAGCAGATTGCCCACAGCTGTCTTCGATCATACAGGTGTTTCGTACAGTTCAGGAAGCAGCTGTATTTTTTGACAGTGGCATCTCTGTTCATTTTGTCATACTTCTCTTCAAGATGTTCAGTTGTGTCAGCATACACCATGCCTTTAACTAATTCCAACAAACGGGGTCGGTCTTCTTTACGGATGCTGTTTTTGCCTTCCAACAGAAATCGCCAAGTGGCCTGAAGTACATGGAAGACACACAAGAGGGTGATTGAATTTGGGAATACTTCTTGTAGACTCTGGCGTTCGCTGTCACTGTCATCAGTGAGGAAAACAACTGGGCCTTGTTCTCCTCTTCCATAGAAACCATCCTCTGGAATCATCCGCTGGTACAACTTGAGTGCTGCAACAACAGTCTCTTTAGACTCAGATGTGGTTATCAAACATCCAAGTGGCAATCCTCCAGCCACACTGTGTGTCAGAATCATAAACATTCTACAATCATATCTATCTATCCCACCTGATGCATCCACAAATACAAGCTCCCCGCCACACTGATGTTTGGAGTGGATCCTTCGCATAAGGGGTGTGCACAATGCAATCACCAACTTGTCATTCACCTGATCCATTTTGCAGCACTCTAGACCCTGTTCCTGATTGTAAGACTTGATGGAAGCTTCAAGGTCATGTGTCATTTTCTCACCGGAAGCTGCCCCATAAGCCTTGTCAAAGATTGTCCTGTACAATCTAAAGGTTGAAACAAATAAGAGAAATAAACGTATGAAGTACAGTGGTGTTTGGAAGTTTCCCCCAAATTACAAGAAATTTCGCAACGTTATTTGTACCTTTATTGTAGGTGTAGCAAATACTGCCTGTCCCACCAAAAACCTTTCAGTTGAAAATTTGACATGTTTGCAGAAAAGTTGGGGTAGTATTAAAATGTGCCTAATGTTATTGCCGTTGAGTAGAATAATTGGTCTTCCAAATGCTTCTTGGTTGATTTGATTACACAATGTTTTCAATGTTCATTAAACATACAGCCATCACAGCAGTGTCTGACTTGAAAACCAATTTGGGTCAATGATATATATCTCATGGTCTTTCAGGAAATGAAAAAAATGCACTTGTTTTAAATGCATTGGTTTAATTGAAATAAAGTTTGTATGATTCTTTTGGCTAGGTGGCAATTCTAAAAAAGCAGTATAGACCCGTGATTATTACTTCGTTTTGGACTGTTAGATTCCGTTTGGGACACTGCTGTGTCACCAGCTAAACTTGAACATCATCAAAAGAGAAAGATTTAATTATACAGTTTTAGGTGCAATGATTGTTGTTCAGGGCTGTGCGGTGTGAAGCTTGTTTTATTTTGGGATCAGTAAGTGTAAGACATCTCAACACCCTCAGATGCATTGAGATACCTTAAGCTGCACTCAAAAAGGGAACATGATAATTTTTATCACACAAGGCCTCAGAAGTGTGGTGAACATGTTTTAGTCCACTTTGGTTCATGACCACTAAAGGTGATGACATTTGTAGTCAGCCAGTCAAAGTTTATGCCCAAGTCTGTAAGTTTTCTGGCCTTGGATACAGAATACCACATTTGATGTTGAGAAGTACCTGTGGCAAAAATGCAGGTCAGGGCACTTTGCTCTGTCAGCGGATACATAGAAGAAGTCAGTTCCATGTTCCAACTGCAAGTCCAGCTTGTGGGTGTTCAGGGCGGATGAGAGTGAATGTCCCATTAGAGTACAGCTTAGTGAACTTGGCAATCACATCCTCAGAAACATCACGGAATTTGAAGGCATCAGCAGAAACTAGCCGGTGGTTGTGGTTATATTTATTTTAGCGCTAAGAAATAAGAAATAACATGCATATCAAGTTTCAACAAAATTTGCCATATGCAAAACTTATAGCACAACAGTTGCTTTTGAAATCACTGGATTGAATTTTTTAAATATTTGGACTAAAAAAATCAGCTTTTTGTAGAGCTTCAGTTTAGAAAAATCATGAAAAATGTGTTCACAAACTTCAGTTGATATAAGGTTTAATTAATAAGTTCACGTAGAGTCAACTTGTGAAACTGATTTTTTTAAAAATTTTCTCACTGAAAAGCATCTGTTCTGGTCATCTCGTTTTTGTTTGTAACATGTCATGGTGGAAACACAGGGCCTTCAACTTGGAGCTGATATGAATTTATTTGGTCAACAGTGGCATGGGAGCATAGCATGAAAGCTCTGTCCTGGTACAGACTTCAGGACATCTGTTGTCTTGTCCATGGCTAACATGAAACTTAATGCCTGGCTTACAGATTGACCACATCAGGAAATTGGTTGTGCCTCACATTCCTGGGAAAACCACTAAGGGGTTAATTACTTTTCCAGTAGCTGGTGTGTGGGAAAATATCACTAATCATTCCCATGTACATGTATATCACATTGTACACTTGACTAGGTTGTTGGGAGAGCTTGTTCTGCAAAAGTCTTGGCTAGCACCAAACTAGCATTCTATACTAACAAGCCAAAATAGTTTTTGTTTTGGGAAATTCTTCCAATTACAATGTTGCAAACTCAGATTTATTCATTTAAAACCCATTTTTGTCCCTTGTCTTTCTAAAAGATATGATATATGAGGATGATTCACATTTTGACAGTGCACGTAATTCAGTGACTCTTTAAGGCTTTAGTCTGCAAGAGCCAATCAGATGCAATCAAAGTACACTCCATTGCAAAGTCGTTTGGGCAAAAAAATTCGCGCCCCGCCCCCGGCCAGTGTTGAGGATGTACCAGTGCTTCGGTAGCGCGCCCTCAATCAACGGGCAGCTGCCTGATACCGGAAATGCAGTATCTGTACGCGTCTTCTGGCATAAGTGCGAAGTTTGCTACGCAGGCCTACATGCACGACATGACGGTCTGTACATTTCTTCAGATCCAGGTGAAAAACGGGCAGATAAAAAAGTACTGCAGGCTGTCAAGGGTAACAAAGATGAAGGTAAGGAATGCCAGAAATGAGTCTCATGAAACGTTGACTTGAGCTGAAGTTTAATCATCTTAATGTCATGTTAGGGCCTACGTAGGCCAGTGTAAGATGAATCACTAGAACTTTGTAAACCAGTAAATAGCCTAAAAGCCTAGTCATTCATCGTGTCCATTGCTCATAACGGCCGTGCAGTGTCCAATATCCATCATCATGTACAGACTGGCCCCATACCGTGATACCAGGATCATTTCTACTGGATAAGGATGACAGAGGGAGTCCCGTAGACTGGCTCATGTCTAGGGCGATCGAAAGATGACAATTAAAGTCTGTGAATCTACATTATATGTACATGTGTGACTGCGAGTCACCAATTTCGCTACTTATTGATACATTGTCAAGTCAGATTGGTTTTCACAGTAGTAAGTGATGAAATAAGGGATCTGATAACTAATGCTATACCCTCATGTACGTTCAACCCATAAACAGGGCCCTATACTGTACATGTGTAAGTGTACATCATGTATAACAGTATTTGGCGCAATATCAGTTGACGCGTGCAATCACTCAATTTTTCCATTCTCGTGGTCGGAAGTTGATCCATTTAATTGCACTCACATCCTGTCAAAGGTAGAATTTTATGTCTATTTTGTACAGGGATTTGCAATGTGAAATTTCAGGCATACCGGTATTTGATGTAATGGATAAGAGTTTAGTCAATAATTCAGATTTTCCCCATAGATCACAACACTTTTCGCCCCTTTGAGTTTCGAGTGGGAAATATGGAATAGCCACCAATTGACCCATCATAGAGAAGAACCAAGACTCAGTGATGTCATCCTGACCACGAGAATACACTATCAAAAAGATCGTGCCTGGAAAGATGTTCATATGCCATGTACATGTACACAGACATCTCCAAGACCCCGTGTAGCCTATGTTCACAGGACAAAAAGAACATGCATTGTAGAGCACACAGTTGAAACTTGTGCACTTCCAAAGTGTCATGCATTCATTCAAACATGCGCTCGCATCTATAGCAGGGCACGTTCCTTTTTGCCCTGTGGACGAGATGGTGCATATTACCTTAAAACTGCTTATTCAAGGTTGTAGAAAACTGTTGAAATTAAAAAAAAAAGGTAAGGGAAGTAAAGATGGAGATTTAAGATGGAGAATTAGCAGTCATGCAGATTGGTCATAGCAAGCAGCTAGCCTATAGATGGTCCACATGTCACTGGCATGATTGATCATCACTTCTGGAAACTACAGCTCTTGTTTTGAGTAATCGATCAGGATTTTTTGTTTTGCCTGACTGCCTGGTTGCCAGGTCATAATTCACTTTGCGTTTGGAAAGGGGTCTCTTTGCTGGACATCACTGTCACCTGTCTGAAGAAAGTTATATGTCGGTGCTTCAATATATTCCCCCACTTAATTTGACTTTCTACTTAGGACCTGTTGATGCTTAAATTTCCTGATGGCTAAGTCTCTGCAGGGAAAATTTAGTGATCCATAAAATGTGTGAAATGCTTCCCGGCCAACACTTTCTGGGCATACATCATGTACATGTAGAATTGATAGGTGAGGCCTGTTTCATATCTTGGCATTACACAACCCTACATGTATGCTCATGAGGTATTAACCCTCCTTTGGTTTTACAGCACAAATGTGCACAAGTGCCAAGGTCACTCTCTTGCATGTTGGTGCAGTGCACAACAGGACACAGCTGTGCTTCTTTGACATGTTTGAGGTGTTTACCAAGTGACCCAAAGAGTGACATCAGCATAGGAGGGTTAATGAAGGGTTGTTTGCATTTGACAGTCCACAGTATGCTGACATATCACTGACAGTAATGTCATTTCCCTTCCTCCCCAATCCTGTTTGCTCATTGATACAGATGAGTCCGGGTACCACTCTGTAACAGCTCAGTGTGTTTTTCTATGCTGATATTGAGCTTTACTGTCATACGTATGGATGATTTCTTATCTGATTTTCTTGAATAAAGTCCCACACACGTAAATTTATGGTTAAATAAATATTACCTGTACCAGTTATTAGCACACTGATATGGCATTGAGGGTTGTGTTATACCACAGCCAAACAAGGTTGTTCAAAAAAGAACACACCCTTAGTAAGGTCCAAGGGCATTGTCTTTGTTCTGGTAAGTAGGCCCCTACAGCTCTGTCAAGTGCTGTGGTTAGTTACAAGTACATGTAGGTCTGTGTGCACTTGCATAATGGTTAAATAGTCTGATTAAAATATAGCAGAAGCGAATGTTGCCACAAATTTGGGGATGAGGCATCTGATTGAAATAACAGCATTTGTCACCCTACAAACGATGCGTGTACATGTATGATTGGTAAATTAGTAGTTTGCTCTAGTCCATTCTGCAAAGTCCTTCTCCCCTAAATTCTAGTCTGCTGGAAAAATTACATTGGATTTTTGTTGAATCAGATTTGTTTTTCCTGGATGTCGATCTTGTTAGAATCAGCAGTTCCCTCACAAGAACTACACGTATGTGTAATCTACATGTACATGCCTGAACCTTCTTTGCAGCCTTCAACATCTACATGTACAATGTACATGTTCATGTATATGGCTCCATGTTAACCACACATGTGTACCGTAAACTGATATAAAAACTAACAAGTACACAGGTACATGTTCATAACTTCTAAAACAGAAAATAACAATGATGTCTGACAACATGATACAAAATACACATGTCTTTATACATGTACATGTACTTCAAGACACTAACACACAACAATGGCAAAAGCCATACATGTTATTGTAATGCGTGGAATGATGAAATCACAGCTCTTCTGCAATACACTAGCAGTGACAGATTTCAAATCTTGTGACTGCATAGTGTATCGTACCTTGATGTATTTCTCACAACGTTTAGTATCATTTTAAAGTCAGTTGTATAAAGTCTGTCTTTTTCAGTCTAGACTACATGTATATTATCAGTGGTTAACAGATTATTGAATCTAGGTTGTAGGAATAGATCCCTAATACTTAATAATCCCAAATCCTCCGATTTCAACATGATTTTTACATACATCCTAGGGAGTTAGGGTTAAGCGATAGACTTGCCCATACATGTACATGTATGTACCAGTACTTTATACATAGTATATACGTGCATGGAGCATACCCTTGTTGGCCTTTGTTTTTCTTTTTTTCTTGCAAGAATAAATTTTCTGTCATGTGATGCATGGCACGGCACAGTACGGTAGTCATTACATTTTTGTCTAGAGTTGCAATGTATTAAACCCTGCATGAACATTTAATACTACAGGTCAAGTTGTGATCTGTAAGTCCAACCATGGAGAAATAAAACACATGGTCCAACGTACAAGAGGCGTTCTGTTTTTAGACGCCAGAGGTAATGAGAGTGCAGAAAATGTGAGGTTTGATTTTTTTGGGTCTTTTATTTTGAGTTTCCCAGAGCTGACCTACATGTATGCTCACAAGCTTGCATAAATGTACATTTACATTGCATGTACATTTACATTGCATGTACTTGTACATGTACATTGCATGTACATGCAGGCATATTGGCCTCTTAATATTAATGGTCAAGGCAAAGAAATGCTCAATTCTAATGCCAGGTTATTGGTTGTGGGCAGAGTCTGAAAATTTGAGTATTTTTTCCTTTTTTTATTCCATTGAATAACAACGACCAATGATTAAGTCAAACTTACATGTACCATTGTTAGTATTACATGTGTACGTGTACATGGATATATGGTTTTGTGGGAACTCTGGATTCTTTTCCCACTATTTTTGAACAAATATAGCCAACTTTCAGTGAATCCATACCTGTGTCCATCCAATTAAGGGTCAGTTTGGAGACCAAACCAGACTCCACCACACCAGGGGTCGTCAGTCACTCTTTGGAATGCAGGCACTCCCTCTCCATGGGTGTTTATTCAACAAATATCTCAGTGGGAAAGACAGTGGAATTTACATTATATAAGCTATAATTTCCACTCTTGATATCTGTATGTGGTTTGACCCTGGCTTTGGATGAGAGGGACATCCCTGGAATGGATGTAGACCGGTTCATTTTTAAGTGCATGGATTTGTGATATTACAGTGTACCATAGTCAAAGTTTGCTACAGCAAAGTTGTAAAAGTCGAACACATTTCAGAACTCAACTTTGGCCAGTTTTGCCATAACCACTGAAGCCATATAATGTGTGCATGTACATGAAGGCTGCTATTTGTTTTGACACTGAGTGTAAACTCTTGTTTTGGTTTTCCTTTTTAAATTTTGTTTGTTTGTTTGTTTGTTTGTTTGGAAGGGATTCAAGGTTTTCCGTTACACCTGAAATGGTGACACCAACTACACGGTGAATAGATGTAATATAGTCTTTCTTTTTGTATAGGCAACAGGCAGAAGTGAACCTTCTATTAAAGGTTATGAACTATGATTAAGAGACTTGGATCTTACAGGTTTTTTATTTTTAGTATTGAATAGTAGTTATGACAGTGCACTTTGTAGTCTATACATGTGCATGCGTGCGTAATATTTGCCCATAAAACAGCCGTATCCTTCATAGGCAACTGTGTATACGTGTACATGTATATATGTGCAAACCATTGTGTTTGTGTTTCTGACCCCAAACAAGTCACTAACAGAACAAAGCTGAAATATTTCATTGTTGATTGTCATGCTTGGGTGCTGTAAGTTTTGCCAAACTGTTGTTTCACTTTTCCAGGAAGAAAAAGTGTTTGTACCAGAGAAATGGGAACATGCGTGTTCCTGTATAAAGGAACATACTTGTGAAAACATTTTGGGTACTTTTTCAGTGTACATGTATGCTAGTTTTTCTCTTTCTCTTTTTCTTTCTACCTTTTGAATACTGCAGTTTTGACATGTCAGCTTGTCTTAAAAATGTTGTTTCCCGTAAAGGAAGTCTAGTGGATTTGATCAATAGATTGGGATCTTCTGGGTTTTTTCTTTAGTCCAAGATTATGTCTCCACTCTGTATGGGTCTTTTGGTTTTGGAAATTATGAGTCTTAGAAAATTATGAGTTTTAATAAGAAAAACTATATTTAATGGATGTATGACTTACACAAAAGATGGAAATGTGTACCGTTGGTGTTCGGTAGCTTTCATTCTTTTGGAGTATGATAAGTTGGCACTCTTGTGATAAAGTACAGGTGACTTCGGCAGTGGCGAGGTTTTTGAACTTGTGTGCGCTGTTTTGGACGTCAGGCTTTAATGAGTTTGAAAGTGTTTGAATTAAAATTTATGGTGCATTTTTTTTCCTCAACCAGGATGTCATTTTGGTAGAATGGTGACAAGCCAACCATAGCCTACTGAGATCATGACATGTAAGAAAGGAGTGGCTTAACAGTGAGGCACCATGCCAGATAAGAAGCAAAACCAAGGCCGAAAGAAGCAAGCTCCAAAAGGGCAAGCAGGCAAAAACCCCGCCCGCCGGACTTCGGCTGGTAAGAGCCCTGCTCGTAGTGCCGCAGGCAAGAGCCCTGCTCGTAATGCTGGCCCAGCCGGTAGTGCTGGCCCAGCCCGAACTGCTGGCCCTGCCCGGAGCAGCCCCACCTCTCGAAATGTTGCACCGAGCCAACCCAGACCTCCTCACAGCCCTTCGATGCCGTACGGCTATGACAACTCAACGCACTACAGCCGGCCACCGAGTGGCACCGGTGCAATGGTGACAGCAGGGCAGGACTTCCAGCATGTGGACCCTCGCTACTCCCAGCAGGAACAGCAGCGCCTGCAGGAACAGCAATATCTGCAGGAACAACGGAGTCTGCAGGAACAGCAATATCTGCAGGAACAACGGAGTCTGCAGGAACAGCAGCGCCTGCAGGAACAGCAGCGCCTGCAGGAGCAACAATACCTTCATCAACAGCAGCAGCAATACCCAGAAGATTTCTCCTACAGGTATGCCACATTGTAAATAATACTAATAAGGGAATAAATATGTGCTTGGTTGATCTTAAACATGCGCTTAAAACGGCTCAGGAGACCGGACGCTGCCAATTATGAGTGCATTATCAGTGTTCAGCACATCCACATTCAGTCAGAGAAGTCAACATATGATGGATTTCCAACAATTTTGTTCTAGAATTTTACTTTCACTTTCCCAAACACATCTGTCCATTTTATGGTACAGTGTATTCCTTGTGCAAGTTGTTCGAAAAAATCTTCTTATATGGACTTGGCGGGCGCGTGGCGAGCCTTGTGGTCACAGATTCTTGACCAATCAGAATCGATTAAACTGTCTTGCATCCAGATGCCAGTGGGCATTATCACTTCTCAGCGGTCAATATCAAATGTTAATACCTGACGGTTGTTGTGGGTGAAATGGCATGTACATATACAGCAGTCTGGTGCCCTTTATGCCATGAGCTAATATAGGAAAGCATAACAATACATTAGAGAAGCAACTAAAACTCAGACAGTGATTACAAGGATGCACGAGAGCTAGCAGAAAACAAAAGGCAAAAAACACGAGACGACTAGTGATAAAAAAGACTGTAAAAGTGGTCTCAGTAAAGCATGGAGGCAGAAGTGAGGGAAACACCAATGATCCTCCAGACATGCAGTGTTCAGGTGTTGCTGGTGCCCTACAAGGTCAGACCATGTACATGTACCTTGCAGTTTAAGGGCCTGGACCCCGCCAGGTTCTTCGCAGGTCCGCGACACCTTCAGTTGATGATACGCAACACTATGTCCAGCCAACCATCGACACTTCCCTCTCCTGCTCATGCGCAATATCTACAAAATCAGGAGGCATTATCAAGTGATACAAGGAGTTAGATGCTTACATGTTCATTGCCGTTGTGGATGTATTGGAGTATTTGGTGACAGAATTGTTTTTGTCCCAGTAAATGTTGGAGTGTCATTTTAAGTCTGTTAAACCGAGTGTCTTTTGGAGGGATTTTCTTTGGGAAGTGAATTTTTTACATTTGAGCATGAGATGTTCGACATCATCCGTAGTGTTTTAAATGTCACGTACATGTAGGCTGTCTGGGCATTCACTAATGGAGGAAAGTTTTCAGACCTCTACATAAGCCCAGGCGAAGTCTATGAACAGCGATTTCTTCTGGGCGTCTTTTTTCCAGTTTGTGAAGGTGAAGGAGGGATTAATAATAAAGTGTTTAGACGGGTTGAGATTCCGAATGGATTTTTTCCATTCATCTACAAGGTCTTTTTTTAGGCATTGCTTAATTTCAGTGTCAGATAGCGCAATTTGATGGTCGACCTGTGATTTTTTAGTTCCTAACTTGGCTATTCTGTCAGCTTTTTCGTTACCGGGAATATCGCTGTGGCCGGGAACCCATTCAAAAGTCACAGAGTTACCTTGATGCTGGATGTTTATTTATTTATTTCTATTGTATATGAATGTATATAAATAGCAATAAATCAATTAATCAATACGTCAGATATCACAGACAATTTTATTCTGAGGTACATGTATGGGATTAAAGATGGCTTGTATGGCACTGAAACAGTCATTAAAAATACATGAATGAAGAGGTTTGACACACTCTATCCATTCTACAGCAAGGAAAATTTTGAAGAAACTCAGCTTCGAGATGAAGAATGTGATCTTTTGTACTTCGTTCTTTCCGGAACCCGCTCTGTTGCTGACTGAAAAGGTTGTGAGTTTCTATGAACCAGAGCAGGCGAGAGTTAAGCAGGGAGTACGTTCCATTAATTAATTTGGACAGAGAGGAAGTCAGAGCTAGGATGATAAGATGAAGGGTTGGTGGCATCGTTCCCTGGTTTGAGAATAGAAATGAAGATTGTATCTTTCACTGTTTTGAACATTGAGAGGCGTGCCACACCATGTTGAAAATGATGAGTAGGTATTCTCTGATTCTTAAGGGGAAATGTTTAGTGTTTGGAGGCTATACAAGGGGAAGCCAATGATATCAATGCAAGAGAGAGGGCTGTGACATGAAGTAACTCTACTGCCTTCACCAGTGTTAAGACAAACCAGGTTGTTGTTGTTGGAAATGATGTCATCAATAATTTTTCCATTATGGTCAAGTTTAGAGCTACCCCACAGTGGGTTATGGTCATTGAAGTCACCACAAGTTATGCTTATCTGCATTTTTTTCAATGATCTTGTTAAGTGAATCAAGATCTACATGTAGTTGAGAGCATGGGTAATACATATTAATTATGCTGATTTTGTTATTGCGGTCATCAAAGATTTCGCCCATTTGGAATTCTACTGGGGTGCTAGAACTTGTTTTGTTTTTAAAGGCAACACCACACTTTATCAAAAGAGCACACCCACCACCACCACCAGTGTTGTTTCTATCATATTGGTAGATGTCATAATTAGGTAATCTAAAATTCTTGTCTTTATTTAACCATGTTTCTTGGATGCAAATGATATCTGGTTTTGTGGACCAAGAATGAATGGCTTCTTTAAGTTCCTTTTAATAGTCTATGAGGGATTGTGCATTCCACTGTACAAGAAATAAGCCTGTCATAAGAATATGAATATTCATGTTTATTTGTTTGGGTTTCTTTTTGGAGGAATTGGTTTGCGCTTTGTTGGGCGTTGGTAGCTTGTGTTCCTGTCTTCATTTGGTGCCATTTCGGCGTATCTGTTTTGCTTGCACTGGTTGGTGTAGTTCTTCGACTTCTGTGTTTTTCTGTACTCTTTCCAGATTCCTCAGGTCCAGGGCGGAGGTGATCTATTAGGGGTTTAGTTGCAGCTGTTCTTTCATCTTTGCCTTTGATAGTGTCCCAGATTGGCATCACTCCAGTGAGTAGTTCTAAAATGTTTAGCTCACTGCAGAGGCACTGATGTGGGGGTCCGTTTGTGTGGATGTCATTTGTTCAGTTTGATTAGTAGGATCTTTTCGTTGTTTGGCAGGTGGTGTGGTTTGGGATCGGTTAGATGTACTGTTCTTTATCTTTGTGTTGGTGGAGTTTGCAATCGATCTCTTCTCTGGAGTCCCTCTTGGTAGCATTTCAGGTGCCGATGGTTGAGTAGCTATATCGGGGCTTATGGAGATGTCTGTCTTGATGGCTCTTGCTGCGTCAGCGTATGATATGTTGTATGAAACTTTGCTATTTTGGATTCGTTCTTGTTTGATAGTGTTGCACCACATGTAAGCTGATGAGTGTTGTTCCCCACATCTGCAACACTTGACCTGGTCTCTTTGTTGGTATTGATCATATGAATGGGATCCTCCACATCTTACAGATCTAAATGAACTACGGCAGTTACTAGCTACATGGCCAAGTCATTGGCAATTGAAGCATCGGATTACAGGGGAGATGAAAGCTTTAACCCGGAAGTTCTTATAGCCTAGTTGGAAAGTGTCAGGAAGGGTGGTTGTGTTGAATGTTAGGCAGACAGAGAGACTTTTCTCTAATTGGCCGTTTTTTCTACGCATCAGGCATTTAACCTCCAAGACTCAATTCTTCTGGCAGGCCTCCAGAATTTCTTTTTCATCAATATCGGCGGGTATTCCAGTGACAACTCCCTTACTTTGTGTTTCTGATTTTGCGTATTCAGTGGTTATGGCCTATTGATCTAATTGAGACATTGGTTTTAGTTTTCTTGCCTGTGCTGAAGTATGACATCTCACAGTAATGCCCCCTTGGTTATTCTTGGAGACACTTTTTACGGAATTGCCGCCGAGACTATTCAGAGCTTTGGCTATTTTGATGGGGTTAACCTTAGCTAGTTTGACATCTGGGGAGTTGATGATGACTAGAGTTGGTTGGCTTTTAGTATCTTGGCTCTGGGTGAAACAACGTTAAGGTTAGGAATTTTGATGGGGATCGTTGTCTGAGTCTGTGCAGACATCACTGTATGATACGTATTTTGGTCGTTTACGGCTTTTAGCATGTTTAGATCGAGGTTGGGATTCCTCTTGAGCCTGACTGATTAATCTGTGTAGTGTTGATCTGTGTTGGTTCTCATTATGGAAACGGTTGGATTGGGGATATTGATTAAATTGTGCTGGTTGGACCCATGAGGAGTCTGATTTCATTTCGTCTTCCATTTTCAGAAGAATCTAGGCCTAAAAAAGGCATAGAAAAGGGGGAAAATATATTTAAGACCTCCTGATCAAGAGATATTGCTTACCGATAAATGAAGTAGGCAAAAGTTATGCAAAAGACTGCTGAGTAGAGGCCAGAACAGTCACTGGGTGACGGAGATTCAAAAGTTTTTGCGCACCCTTGAGCATCCACTAAAACACGAGAGATCACGGCGAGACTTGACAAGCTATATCTAATACACGGTCAAGTTGCACATTATTGAAAAGGGAGACTGTCTGAGGTATTTTTGAATAATTTGTCAATCCTGTCTGTTCTTCCTCAGTTCTTCCTTGTTCTTTTCCAGAATAACACACTCCTTGGTTTTGCCAAGCCTTCATAAGTTTTTGAATGAATGTCTTTTGTTCCCCGTTTCATCATTTTATATCCTGTTTTGACATTCAGTTCTCACTACCGGTAGATGCTAATATTATTGAGCTGGGATAATTTGTCAATTATTAAACGACTCACAAAGGGCATCTATTGCATCTCAGAGGTTGAGGGGGACATCACCTTGATCAGAACTAATGTGAGCAAGAAGGGTGAAGCCCCAATGGCATGGGGTCCTGGCCCTACTTAAGGGCCTTGGGAAATTTTGGGTTCAAGATGTTCTATGGTGAGATCTGAGGCGATTTCTGACCACTAAAGCCAATTTGTTTTCAGCAAATGCCATTCAAGATTTTGTATTTTATTTTCAAATTATCTTTCTCTTTTGAAATTGTGTATTTTTTACATGCAAGTAGGGGAAAATGGTATCAACCACTTTAAAAAAAGTAAGGTTGACATATTCCCCCGTCCCTAACCGATTGACGCCCATGTGAATTTTAAATAATAAATAAGTAGGCTCTTCCAGTAAGCCTTCATGTGCATGTGCATACTATGTACAACTGCAGATGCCTTACATGATATTGGACATTTCAATGAAATGAATGTATATTGGGCAGGTGGGGAGTTGGATGATTTGATGACATTTGGCAGTGAATAAATTTAAGTAAAACCTAGTGTACATGTACCTCAAATATGGACCTACATGTACATGTATGCCCTAAGATCTTTGGATCTTTAGAACTTTGGAGCTTTGGATCGTGGATCTTTGGATCTTTGGAACTTTGGAGCTTTGGAACTTTGGATCTTTGGAGCTTTGGATCTTTGGAATTTTGGATCTTTGGATTTGTTGCCAAACCCACATTGTATTTTTATCGTCTGATTGTATCTTGTAATTCCAATGAATTGCATCTTTATTGTCTTTCATCACCTCATAGATCAGTGTGCATTCACTGTAATTTCTTACTGAACAATTTTTGCAGACATTCTCCCAGGATGGATGGTCGTTACTCTCCAAGAATGGGTGGTCGGCAGTCACCCAGATTGGATGGGCAGCCATCTCCGCGACTGGATGGGCGTCACTCCCCGGCCCTCAGCGGGAGGAGTTCACCCAGGTTTGATGGTCGGGCCTCGCCTCGCCTGAGTGCCCGGAACTCACCTCGCCTGGGGGACAGGCGCTCAGCTCGCCTGGCATATGGGGATGAGGACTACGACCCGCACAGCTCGTACATTCAGATGGGAAATAGTGAGTGTCACTTCATTCATGAGCGTACAGTTACAGTGTGAATCAAATGTGTCACCCAATCTCAAAGTCAGAAGTCACTAGAGCCACTTATTGAGTTCAAGGCCTCAGAAGAATCTTGCACATTATAATAAATCGAAAACCTCAAAGTGTTGCTCACATAATGTCCATGTGATACTTGTAGAAGTACAATACATGTATCAAAACAAAGGGCTCAGTTTACTCTTTGAAATGCAAACTACATGTAAGCAAACTCGAAGTTACCCAAGTGATGTCTTAAGACTCATGTTGAAGTTCCAGTCACATTTTCGACCTGGAATTGAATCAAATTGAAGTACATTTGGTACTTGCTATCGTAAAATGAGGCGGAACCTGTTTTTCGGTCACATTTCTTTAAGGCTGCATAAGTCAAATCAGATTGTTAAATATTTGAAAATTCGACCTTCCAAATATATTCAGTATTCGATCAAATGTACAGTATTCAAATATTCAGTCAAAGCATATCCCAACAAAAGCAGAAACAAACTCTTCCTTGTTCCGGGGTTGTCTACGTTGTTGAGGTGGACTCATTCCATAATTAAAGGAAGAGACCAGGAGGTCCAACTGACATTTCATCCTGATCGGTAATTTATTATTTTATTTATTTTAACCGTCCGACAGGGAGAAGTCATTTTGTGGTCTTACTGTTCAACATATGCATTAGTTACCTTAAATTTACTGGCAAACTTTGAAATGTGCTGTTAGAATGTAATTTTGCCACCACAGAATTGAATTGTTTTCCCTTTATTTTCACTTTTGAATATTCAATTTTGAAAAAGAAATTTGAATACTTGATAATTGATTGAGTATGGGTCATCCTATTTTGTAGGTACATGTACCCATAAGTGTCCACAAGAGCACCTGCATACACATAACATATTCCTGTTGTTGTGGGTATCAACACCTGTCATTTCACCTATTTTTCTGGGAAGAACGTTGTGGGGACAGCAGAATGTCCCCGCACATGTACTAGTACATGTATCTCCGTCCTAGTTTGGCCATCAAAAGAAAGTTGCCTTCTTTGTCCCCATAACCTAGGGAAGGCCCTTTTCCACACACATGCAGCACTTGCAGAAAATGCATCCAATTCGTCTTACCTTTTTCTGATATTTGTAATAGCATGTCAAGTACCGGGTACTCTTTGCATAATGTCATCCTCGAAGAACAAAATGTCATCATTCTCAAGGATGAAATGAAGCCACTTGTAATTAGAACAAGGCAAAAAATGTGAAATTAGCTTTAGGCATGCACATGCATCATGCAAGCACGATGCCTGAGTTTTTACTGTTTTCAAGCTCATTTTTCACTGTAATCTTCCTTGATACTGCAAGGCAAGGCACTGTTTCACTTTTGAAGAGAATACAGCAGTACATGTAGGTCTAAATGTAATTTCCTCTGCGCCTGACTTTGTGGTTGCTACTTTCTGCATGGTTTTAATGAATAAGCCATTTGCGAGTTAAATTTGAATGAAATCTTGTACACTGAGTTATCTGATTGCACATAAACATAACGATTTGAATTCCCCAGACTAAAGACACTGTTGCTATACCTCGTGATTTGCAGAGCGACCACCATTTCTGGAATGGACTGGTTCCTTTGTGCCCTTCTTATCCTTTGAGAACAGTATATTGTTGTAAGGCATCTCTTATGTACATGTAACTCAGAAAAAGCTTGCCCCTCATCACAAGGTATAGCAACAGTGGTTTTAGTATGGAGAATTCAAATTATGTTCACGTGAATTCAAAGAACTCAGTGTACCAGATTTGGGTCAAATTGAACTCGCAAAAGGCTTACTGGACCCCTGTATGTGTACATTGTTGGCATTTTGTTGTGGAGCATTTTGTTTGTTACCACTCTCATCATGTGTAATATGTGTGTGTTGTTTCTGTGTAGATAGTCAGTGTCAATATGATTATAAGCATAGGCCAAAGCAGCTTGCAGTACACACATACAAGATGTGTATTCTGTAGGCACACTTGCCATCACTCTGTTGAGTCGTATTCATTCTATGTACATGTAAGTGGCATGACCATATACATGTACTGACCCTTGTCGTAATGGTCTCCTTCGGTCGGCATCGAAACACGATTAGCCCATCCCAATGCAACAGTAAGTTATCTGTTTTGTGTGAGTCGGTTTCTGAGTCTGACAAAGATTTTTGAAAAATTCACAAAAGTGTTGTAGTGCTGCATGAGAACCTGGGCTTTGATTTAGGGAAAAACGTTGGAATGACTCTACAGAAAGAAAGGCTTTGCTTGCACATGCACATGTACATGGATTTGGCATTTAGAGTCTAACACAGATTTAAGTTTTAGTCCTTTTGGAAAAAAAAACAACAACTGTTGACTTCTAGAAATAGAAACCCCAAATGCAGACTTGCAGTGGATTGATTCAGAGGGTAAAATTCAATAATTTTTATCATTTAAGTACATTTAGTCTGCACAAATTAATGCAGAAAAAATGCACAGAAAGAGTGAATATTATTGTTTTCATTCAATTCCTGGCAATCTACATGTTTCTGTGATTTTCACAAATTTTGTCCTACGGTTCAAGCACATGTACATCCCTGTCCAACCATCTCTATTCCCAACATGTCATCAGTAGTGCCAGTGGTTATGCAAAAAATTGTCTTTTACATTGAGTGTTATTTCATTCAGTCCAAAGCTTTTCTAATTATTTTGTCTGTGTTGGGATAATTTTGTGAGGCTCAAAGTCTGTTTGGAGGCATTTACATGTACTTTTATGTATGCTACATGTACATGTGAAACAGCACATGTTCTGTATATGAGCTTTATGTCTGCAAACACATATTATTACCAAAGATCGTATAGCGCCAAAGGCGCAAGATGGATAACTCTGCCCAAAAAGTGTAATTACCACGGGCACCATTTGAGCAAGCGATACGCCTGCGTAGTTTACCGTCATGCTTTGGCGCAGGCTCACCAGGTGCATGTGCCTGCCGCGGCGCCTGTGCCTGTGCATTAATGTGCATTGCGCAGACGTATCGCTTACTCAAATGGCACCTATGCAATTACAACGTTTTACGTGTATTTGCGGTGAAGTTTTCCATCTTGCGCCGCTATGCGGCGCTATACGATCTTTGATTATTACATAGCTACATTTGGCTACACTCACCCAGCACATGAATACTAAGCATTTACTAAGCATTTACTTTGGCCTTAATTTTATCTGTTTTGAGAAGACTAGTTCATTGTCAATAAGTGTGTAAACAAGAACATTTTTCACAGATTTTACTTTTAAACTTCAAATTTATCAACTGTACCAAGTGTACAATGTACATGTACATGTTGTGTCATTCTGCGATTTAAGGAACGGACTGTTGCTGTGTTGCATTCATTTTTCAACAAGTGTCCAAACCTGAATTCAATAAAAAAAAGGAAGTTTTCCAAATGTTGGCTTTGTCTTTGTCTTCAGATAGAGGCATCCGATGGAATAGTCCACTGCTTCATTTTCTTCTGTGGAGTTTTCAATTTGTCTAACCACTTGAAACTTACTGTAGAGCTTGAGATCAGGCTGACGACACTGATGGGGCTAAGATTTTACATGCCCATCCCCCTAAAGTCAGATGGTTTGGGCTACTGTAGCAGTGAAAACCTCTTCAGGTATTCACTTGTACATGCGCCTGTTCAGTACTGTACGTGTTTGTGACTTCATTGAAAGCCAGCACATTTCCTTGCATTTTCTGATCAGTTAACCCAGCCTTCTCGGAGCCAGAGACAAGCCCAGTTGTCTCGCCCAATGACCTCCGGCCAGGTGATCCTTACCAACGCGACCGCAGCGTGTCCAACGCCTCTAGTGTGTCCTACCGTTCCAGCAATGAGGACGAAAATGAGATCATTGAGAGGGAGCTGATTGCCGCTAACCTACGGGATCCATCCTCAGTAATGGAAATGCTCCCCAGCAGACAGCTAGGTGAGCCTCAGATTGACTGATTGAATATTCCACTTGGTGTGAAATATTTTTCTTTTCCACTGCGTTCCTTTTCCACTTTTCTTTTCCATACAATTAATCTCTCGAGCTTGCTAACTGCAGCTGAATGCAACAGAGGTTAAATGACAACCGTGGTAAATGCAACAAATTCCATTAGATTGCAGCAGTGCAGTGTGACCTTTTGTGACACTAAGCAGTGCCTAGGAGACACATACCAGCTTTGGAACTGTTACATTACACAGCGGCCTCAGCTTAATGCAAAGTGCAGCAGGGTTTATACTGTTGCCTTTAGTCAGGGTTAGGTCCTATTGAAAACCACTTGAATAGAAATGAAGGCTTCGTTTTGGACGTTTCAGGGGAACAGCCAAAACATCTGAACACAAAAGTCTGCAATAGTTTATGCACACTGAAATTATTTCAAAGAAAGTCGGACAAACACAGGGGCATTCTTACCCAGTTAAGAGGTACATGACACACACTGTAAAGACAAATACGTATAAGTGATAAATGCTTCCTCTCAACCATCTCAAGATGTACCGCTAGCTTCCTGATTATTGATCAAACCTTATTCAGTGGACAGAGCAAATTAGCAGACAGAACAAAAGCTTTGATTGAAAAGGGAATGGTTTATGCTTTCCAAAAAAAAATTGTGAGCTTTTGAGTGATCCATGCATGGGCGTGCATTTGTACACATCTTAGTTCAGTTTGAGTGTTTGGCTGTAACTTTGAAAGGAGACTTTTAAAGAAGAACTTTCTGTTAACTTTGGATCTTACGCTGTGGTGGATACCTGACCTATGCATGAGGATTGGTTGGTCCTATGTAGGCCGAACCTTATCGTCCGCTACCTCAAGCAACAAATGGCTCCGCAAACGCTCCCAGAAGTCCCTGCGCCGTGGGCGTTCCATGTCAGCGTCTTCAAAAAGGCAGGGGGGTGATGACAATCTCAACGTGGAGATGATGATTGAGCGGATCCTGGCTGACGAGGACAGCGTGGAGGGGCGTGGCAGGGGGCACTCCCTCAACCGGAAGAACACCATCCGCAACATACAGGGGAGCCTGGGCACCAAGCGGAAAGTCAGGTACCCACACTGTTATGGCACAGTTTTTGTACCAGTGTTGCACCCCCACGGCCACGGGACTAGCCGCTACAAGGTGTACATNCAGAGAAAGTCTAAACCCACAGTGAGTTTTCACTGACAGTTTCATGGAGGATGTGTTTAATGCCATCTCTTAAATGCATACTACAAGGAAGGTTAACTTGTTACATTATAAAATTTCAAAGGCTTTAAGTGTTATTTGTTTACTTGATTAATTAGTTGATGTGGTGATTATTTGGCAAGATTTCTACTCAGTTATTTGGAACACTTCGAAGAATCACAAAAGAATGGTCTAAAATTTTAAGTCCAAAAACCTCCAATAACCCATTCACAAAACGCTGCCCATACAAAAAAAAGTAGACCTTTTCTTCAAGAGATCTATTTGTTGGTTCCCATAACACATAAACTTTTAAGCCTATATAAATTTTTTTATTTTTGGTGTTCAATCAGTCAAAAGAAAATTAATTGCAAAGGAAAAATTAATCACTTGAAACAATTGTCATAAACTTGCTGCCCTACAAATTTCCCACTCTTTTTTGTAGCACATGTATGATTTATATTAGTATGGATTTAAAATGCACACAATTCAGCATTCAGGCTTGATCCTAGTTGTTGTCATTTGCTTCATTTGCAGGGCAGAAATACAGAGGCTATCCGACAAGAAGAAGCACAAGTCAGTGGGACTGTTTAAGTACTGGCGCTACCAGACATCATATGTATGTACATCTTGCAATACAGTCATTGGCAAAAGTTTAGGACCACCTGTACAAAAATGCATTAACCTGAAGAAAAACCAACCTTAAACCAATCAATCGTGGCAAATTATGTTTATTCTTAGTGTGTAACCTTAGTATCTTTATTTCTGATTACTTAGTCTGCCTTTTTTTACCCGCGCTGCCTTACAGAATGTCACACAAGACCTGCCTTTGCAACAAAATTAATTCAAATGGTGTAATAGCACTACTCTGAAGTTACGTACCACTGTATGAAACATGTTATGTAATCGTTCCATGTGACAATGTAATGTAGGCCCAGTGACAGAAATACCAATAAAATTCTAGTTGGTCTGAAACTTTTGCTTGACTGTAATGCTAAACGCTGAATAGGGTTGTAGCCGAGGGGGGGGGGGCAAGGTAGACTCCTCCCCCATTAACTTTGGCTGAAATTACCACCGTGTTAAAACTATGACCTATGACTCCGTGTACAAAAGCGAGCCTGTCCGTCGTCATTATACTGATGTTCTTTCATTAGAAATATTAGCATATTATGATTGGAAAACATTAGGCATCATACCTCAAATCATAATCAAAGGATGTTAGAAAATTGTCTACAAGTACCACAAAAAATGACTTGGGCCTTGGGAACTGACTTGGTAAAAACTAGCTTGTGAGTTAACTCCAAAAAATGACTTGGGCCTTGGGAACTGACTTGGTAAAAACTAGCTTGTGAGTTAACTCCAAAAAATGACTTGCTACTTGACTTGTAGAAAAATGGTATTAGTTACAACGCTGAGCACTAGTCACAGTGGCTCGTTGTTTACTTCACTTTCGCCTCTTCCCTTTTTTCCTCTTCCCAGGGCTGGGAGAGCTTCAAGGAGTGGCTTTACAACTTGACCTACTCCCTGGAGCTGTGGCGGGCTCCCATCAAGAAGATCGAGGGCCACTTTGGCAGCGGGGTCAAGTCCTACTTCATCCTGCTCAAGATGCTCCTACTTCTCAACATCCCTGTCTTCATCCTCTCCTTTGGCTTCCTCACCATCCCCCAGCTGCTCTACATGCCCAGCCCCTCGCAGAACAACAGCCGGCCCTTCACGGGGGCGGAGCTGCTGACTGGTCAGGTAGGTGCTTTCAAAGAGGATGATGGGACTTTCTCCATATTCACAGAGACTCTTTCGCCATTGATGAAAAGACAATCTGGAGTGACAGTTTAAATATTAACATTGCTGTGCCATTGGTGCCCCTGTGGAGACCCGTATGAAGATTTATGCACATTCTGATGGAAGTCATGTTATGTGCACTCAATAATTTACACATGGGTAGAAGTGCATTCATGCTGATACTTTGGGTGGGCCCTAGTGGATGTCCATTCAGGGTAACGATGTGCACCCTTCTCTTTATGCAAGGATTCCGGTGGAGTTTCGATTTATTTCTTGTCAGACAAAGATTTACAAAACAGTATGTCTCATTAAGTCGTGCATATAATTATACACTTGTAATGTACAGTTTTCCAGTTTAGAGTTTTTCAGGTTTCTGGCTTGGAGTTTTCCAGTGCCACCTCATCTTCTGTTTGGGAGCCTCTGTAAGACAGGACAATTCAAACCTTTTGCAACGCTCTGTCTTTTCTCCTCTTTGATATCTGAAGGAAGGGAGGCTCCTTAGTCAATGAAACTAACGCCACCAATTTTTTTCTGTGTTTAATAATTTTTGTACACTACCTCGAAATTAGTGATTTTACTGTCATCCAGTTTTCCCCTTCCTTCTCTCATTGGACAGCGCCTTCTGTGCTACAGAATGGAATGGACGTTTGACCATATGACTCCAAAAGCATTAAATTTTCCCACTTGTATTGTTGTGCATCTGTGCATGCAGGGTTGGTTTATTGAGACAGAGCTGTACTTTGGCTATTATACCAATGACACCTTTAGTCTGATAGGCAATGCCTATTACAACATGCCGGTCGCTTACCTGTTTGCCAGTGGTGGATACCTACTGCTCATCTTTGTAGTCTTGTCTCAAGGGTAAGTTTGGAAAATATGTCTCCTCTTCCCTGTTTACAGTTTGTGTACTAGTAACAGTTGAATCATCACAGGATATTTATGTTTTTGACATTTTTTTACTTACAGATGGTATTATTTTTAGCTGAAAATTTTGAATTTGGAAAGGGCAAGAGGAAAGTAGCCAACCTGTGATATGCATCGAAACGCCATGTTTAAGTTCAACGCACAGTCTGCCTGCATAGACTCCTATGACTTAATGTGTTTAAAACAAGTAGGGGATTAGCATGCATAAGGAGAAGCACAGTGGATGTTTGAATCTGTCGGCCGTGCTTGTTTATTCAGGTAGCCAAGTCGTGTTTACATGTCCTCTGGCACAAAGTGCTCAAACCTTGGGGGACTTGGCCTCTTGGGTCTTGTTACATTGTGGAGGCTTCTCAGTTTGAACACTGTAGCCTGTTGTTGCATGGTTTCTAGCCAAAATGCCATGGTGGGTCAAGCTTAATACTGTATCACTGTGCACAGAATTTTTGTGCAAACCTTCTGAGTGCCAAGAATTGTAGGATCCTTCAAAAGGATACCTGTCTTTTTTCTTCTCTCTCTCAGCATGTCTAAGACGTACCGTAAATACTTCATCACCGGCGACCGGCAGCACAACTTCTACACTCCCAAAGTGTTTTGTGGCTGGGATTACGGCATCACATCTGGCAGCACGGCCAAGCTCAAACAGCGCAGCATCTTTCTGGAACTGGCTGTAAGTATCTAAGATAAGACAAGGCTGTGTTCAACTGTCATGGCTGTGGCTGGCATACATGTATGTCACCATGGAAGCCGCTCAGTAGTGGCTACAGCAAATTCCCATAGATTTGTATGTTATTGTATCCATAGTCGTAAGTAATTAAGAAACAGCCCCCTTGTGCTCTCTACAAGCCAGATGTTTAAACTGATAAGGGTAATGATATAAAGTTTGTATTTTGTGATTTCCATGAGATCCACTATTTGCACATTACACATAGAAAGACGCAGTGAAAATCTAAGGGTTTGACCAAGAATCACGCAAAAATCTGTAGAGTGGCTTTGGGGCTTTTCTGTTTTTTTCCCCTCTTTTTGAAATTTTCCCTGACATGTCCATTCGAACTGTTTGTGGTTTGAGCCATTAAGCCCATATTTTTATGCCATGTGACAAAAACACTGAAAAAGTCATACGATATCAGTACCAGTCCCACTCTTTTACAGGAACCAGGGAAATAGAATTTTTTTTATAAATTTTACTAAACACCCTTGAAATTGCATCTTTGGGTTTCAATTAACCTCATTTTAAATTTGTGTTTTGCAATTTTAACCCATATGTTGATGCTGTTTTGGTTTTATGCTAATGCTATTTGCATATGCATGAGCAGAACTGTGATGTCATCCAAGGCACTTAATCTCAATGTTGCACTCATTTTTGCGCCGAAAATTTCTATTTTTTTTTTTACCACTGCTATGGCAGATTTTATTTTCTTTGGCAATTTATTGCTGTGTAAGTATATGACAATAATCCAGCGAAAATCCTTTTCACAGAAATGTTCCCCGATAGCAAATTTGGGGTTCACAATTTGAACATGAAAACACGCAACCCGGAACCATGTCTTCCTGGCCTTACATCAAAGCAAAAGCGCCCTCATTTGTTCAGAAATGCTTGGTTAATTTTCAGTGTTTGAAAAGATGCACCGTTCAGTTCGCGTAACTCAAAACAGGATGTCAAACAGTCTTCATACATGGAAGAAGAGTACAGAGAAAGTGATTCTTAGAAAACCTCATTTCCTGGATCCTTCATTTAGACACAGTTCATAACATAAGCAGTATTCTCTTAATAACCTGTAAAAACAGAACAACACTGTTCCAAAAGTTCCAAACGTCAGCATTCTTCAAATGCTGGCTTTGCCAGTATGTTTAGAACTGCTTACTTATTCTCTCTATCCCAAACAGTACCAAACGTGTACGTTTGCATGCATTTCTCTAACCTTTACCCAAGGCCAGTGCTTGTCAAGATGCCATGTTTTTTTCTGGAATCATAGGAGCATCTATCCTCCCACCACCGCTCCAAGAAGCGAGATTGGGCTTTCAAGATCAAGTGGGCTCTGTTCAGGCTGACCATGAATGTTCTCGTCTTGGCCATCATCGCTGGGGCATCTTACCTCATCTTCTTCGTATACAAGAAGAAGGCATTCTCGGTAAGCGTTACCGTGGAGACAGTTGGCCTTAGTCACAAAGACTTCATCCTTTGTTTAAAGAAAGAGGAGCAACTCTCCATCTGTTGAAATCAGCCACGTACAGATGTTGAAACTGTACAGTATTAGTCATTTGTTCAGGTTCTTTTTTCCCTTGGACACCACATTTTTTGTGGAAGCTCTGGTCAGGCATGTTCTTGGGTTACAAGTCTACAATTTTTTTTGTAAGGATCATTGCCTTTTGGATTATGGTTCTGAGTAACCAATTAGCAAATTACTTTGTATGCATTAATTATTCTGTTGTATTTTTGCTCGTAATTAAAGTTTGTTTAAGCACGTTCCAAGTCTCTTTCAACCAAATAGAACTTTACCTTTTGAGTTCTTGAATTCTGAGTTGAGTGGTCCAATTTTGATACTTTTGGCATAATGTTTTTGCCAGTTTTGTGCTTTCTGAAAGACAGCGTTCGTGGTCACAAAGCACAGAGGTATTTTAAAAAAATCTGTTATGAAGTATAACAAATTAATTGATATATTGATTGAGTAAAAAAATTATACGTGCAGCCTTATCATACACTGAGTGATGTGTAAGTGTATACTCACACCAATGTGTCAGCTTACATGGATAGATCGCACAGCCCCAAGCTATGCCTCTTTCCATTTCCGTTTCCACAGACCGATGTGATTATCATAGGAGACCTAGCCATAGCCCTTCTGGTCAGCGGCTACAACCTGATCCTGCCCTACATCTTCAGTGTCATTGGCTACTTGGAGAAATACGAAAACCCGCGGGTTACACTTTATTTCTCTCTGTTCAGGTAACAGAAAAATACCTTCAGAAAAATAAAACACAATTCATTATAATCTAATGTTTTGACAGTGCATTCAACACTTTTGCTATTGCGATGAAAATGGATATTAAGTAGTTGAAAAATGTAGAGAGTTCCTACTGGTTTACACTGTACACAATTTCTTTAATATCCTTTAACTCAGAAATAACTCTGGCGACTTATGAGTTAATTCTTTTAGATTTTTTCCCATGTTGGAATTGGTGTTCAGAACCTGCCTTTTGTATAAGCAGGACATTCCTGATGAAGGCTACCATCTTGATCGTGTTGGTATACCATTGGTTCAGCCAGATTGAGTGCAAGGGCGATACTGTGGCTGACACGCTGCCATGCACGGTAAGCGCCCTAAAACATACAGGCATAAATTGCTATGCTGTGGAGGATGAGGTATGGAGTAAGCACAGGCACATCGGACACAGGACAAATTTGATCAAAGAACTGACCTCAGGCATGTCAGAGGACATGAAGAACCTCTTGTATGTGTGTCTGTCCTCAGTGGTGAAGTCACATATAATGATCATGATGGTAGAGTCACGGAATTTCACCACCTATTATCAAGTCTAAATTGGAATTTACAGTAAGTAGTGAAATAAGGGACCCGGCGACCATACACCCACGCACATTACACATTTTTATGTTGCGAAGGCCTATGTGGTGTGGACATTCATTTGTTTTTGTGCAGTTAAGAAAAGAAACGGAGAAAAACAATTAAGTTTACTCACATAATGAACGTGTTTTCAAACTTAATGCTTGACCATAATATCTTTGAATGCTCCTCATTATTTTTTTATGGATAACATTGACCCCCAAAACTCCTCTAATTTTTTTTTTGGAGGGGGCAGCTTGTGAAGACCAGCACAAGTCTAGCCAATATTTTGGCTAGATGAAGTGTGTGTCAGCGTCTTTTGTTCACTGGTCCACACAAAGCATAGCAGGCCTGTTCACCAGTAAAATTCTGGTTTAGTAGGATTGCTGAAATTTGCTGAAATCACTCTGATATTGTGGATTCAAAACCTATTGTTCACTGGCTGGTCACGGGGGGCTCTTGTTTTGGTTTACATCCTTTGGATCCACAGTGCATGTTCCATGCCACGGCACATTTATATTTATCCCCTCCTGAGAACAATGCCTTTTTACTAACCAGAAATCGGGATCAACATCAGTGTTGTAGTCAAGACCATCAGAAGACCAGTCATAAGTAACAGGGTGTACAGTGACAAAGGAATGCTTTAGTTGCTGTTCGTTTGATTAGCTTGTGATTTGAATTCTGACTGGAGGTCATATGATGGTCTTGGGGGGGTTTCAACTACAACACTGATCTACACGTATTAAAATATTAATGGCCTTATTTATTACTTTCGTTTTTGAAATATCTTGTTCTTTTTGTCATTTCTGCCAGTTGAAAAAATTATTGAGAATTTACATAAGAATCCATCTTTTTGATGCAGTGTTGGGAGACATTTCTTGGTACCGAGGTCTACAAGCTTGTGATAGTGGACTTTATTGTCCAGATTCTGGCGACGTTCTTCTTGGAGTTCATCAGAAGGTATGTCGTACAGAGAATGGTGGAACTTAGATTTCTGAGTCACATAAAGCTGAACACAAACAAGTGATGACATCAAGCTTATATCAAGTACCAGAGAAAAATTTATGTCATAGTTGACCTAACTGGTGTGACTTGTATCTGTAACGAACAGAGTACCAGTGGAGACTTTGACTGAATTGAATTGAATTGCAGTGAAGACTATTGTTTGAATCAACCAGTTACAAGTGAAGATATTAGGTTCACATTGGTCTGGTTGGTTGATCCATATAAATTCTGCAGTAGATGAAATGTTAACCTATAGTAGTCCATGTAATATTGATTGCACTTGTAATTATTGTTTTAGTATTATTGTACTTTTCTCTCCATAGGGTTGGCCGTGATCATTGCTGTAAATGGTTTGCGTCACCAGAATTTGACATCGCCAGGAATACGATGGACCTGATCCAATCTCAGACATACACATGGTGAGAACCTACCAAATAGGCTAGAGATTCTCACTAAAATGTATTTACTGCGTGGTTAGCCTTGATGTCCCAGTGCAGAGAAATAGAAGAAACGTCCCACTAAAACATCCGATCCTTCAACTTTCTAAAGCTTTGTGTACATCAGATCATCCCCATCAATACGCAATTTAAAACAGCGTTTTATATACTCTGTTTTTTATTCATTTCTAAGTGTTGGATTTTCTCAGATTCAGAGAGCTTTTAAGTAAACATACCCAGGCGTAAGGGTGAAGGTCAGAGTATTCTACCTGTTTATTTGATCCCCCAGGATTGGTATGTTCTTTGCTCCTCTCCTGATGATCATCTGTATCATCAAATTGATTCTGCTCTTCTACATCAAACAGGTAATCTCCCCTTGGCTGTTCACGGCCAACATTTCAGGTTTATAACTCTGGTTTGTAACTGTGGTGCACAACCCTACTGCTAAGTTCTGGTTTTGTGCCTGTAACCCCGAGGCTGACTATTGGTCTACCAATATCTCCCAAGTCTGGAATAGTCACCTGATGTCTGTGTCATGTTGTTTGATGCATACATTACTCAACCCTACACAACAGCCAATCGGAACCTCAAGTGGCATGCAACACCAAGGCTAATTGGTTGATAGTGTCAATACGGATAGTAGATGTGTTCTGTTTGGTAGTTCAGAAAGCCAATAAAAGGGAATCCTATTCTGAGTGTCCCAGTAAGTTCAGGGAACCCACTTCCAGCACATAGGCCCAATCAGCCATGATGCATCCATATAATCGGCATTAATTTTGTCAGAGTTGCCCTGTCAGTTAGCAATGAACTACTCTCCATAGGGGCTCTGGGAAAGAGGAAAATGAAGAAATGTTCACGTTTATTGTGGGGAAATTCCACAAAATCAGGTTGGGACTATCAACCCAATCCATAAGTCGGCCTTCATGGGATTCGAAGCCACAGAGATAAAATGTGAGGAAAACCCTACTGTGCTAACTTGACTCCCCTAAGGTCACTAAGGTCCGTTCTATTCTTCCCCCTAGGTGAGCGTGTTGTACAACTGCAAGCCCTCCCTTCGTCCCTGGCGTGTCGGCATCACTCAGACACTCTTTTACATCATCCTCTTTATCATGTATGCCATCTGCATCGTCGCCTTGGGATACAGCTTTACCAAGTATGTCCTCATTTTTCTTAGTAGCTTGCCCCCCCCAAAAGAATTTATAAATAATTTGTCTCTGGGGACTCATTTTTCTTGTCAGGCAAAGAGAAAAATTTGACTTGATTTATGTGCAGACAAAATATGGGTCTCTGAAGACTCCAGACTCGTTCCCAGTTGGGACTTATTCCAAATTTTGGCTTATTATAACTTGGTCTTTTTCCCAATTTGGACTAATTCCTCTTGGACAGGTGGCATGCATACAGCACATGCCTCCTCTACCAATAGGATACAGAGTACATGTGCTTGAAAGTATGATGTCACTGTTATTATGACATTAGAATAGTCTACATGTAAGATGTCAGATAGGCTTGGAAGAAAGTCTTAGGACTTGGAAATATTGATTTAATTGGTACTTCATTGACTCGGAGAAAAAAAAAATGAGCTTTGACTTCATGTTACTTTCTTATCTGGTGCATTTGCCCCTTATCAATGTTTATACATTGCTTATCAATGTTGTCCAATGGCTTGTGAAAATATTCACAAGCTTACTTTGTAGGGACTTGAACCCACTACCTCCTGCTTTACTAGTGCAGACGTCTTACCACTCAACCTTTATTGAGCTTGCCAGGGTAGACTGGCTGGTGTGTGTCAAGTGATCAGTCAAAATCACACGGTTTAATATGACATTGCTTCAAACCATCATTTTTTGATTTCTCCCATTCAACTCTCTTCCCCCCCCCAGCATTCCACCCTCACAAGATTGCGGCCCATTCCGAGGCCTGAACTCTGTGTACGAAGTGTTCACCCAACTAGTCAACCAATGGGAGGAGACACAACAAGCATGGAACTTCATCATCAACTTCCTGACCACACAAGGGGTAGTGGCTGCGATCGTCGCTCTGCTCTGGTAAGCGCCTTTGGGCCAATTTAAGCACAGACATTTGTCAAAGGGTCCAGGTGGTAAACTTTCCTCAGACGTACCTTTCCTCAATCTATGAAAATAATTTGAAATTTTTTAGAGTTTTGAAAACATTTGAATTGCTGTTGTGGAAACAGGGAAGACACTGCTCTGTTTGTAGCTTTTTGTGTTCAAATTGTGAACCCGAAATTTGCTGTCAAACGTTTCAGTGAAAGGGTTACCTGTTAGTCTATTGCCATTTGTTCAACTAACAAGGAATCATCAAAGAAAAGGAAACAGTATTACAACTTCCAAGCTGATTTTTTTGTGCACAATCCAATGCAACATTAAAGTGCTGTCCCTAGAATGATTATCACAGTTTTACTCCTGAATGTGAATATATGCGTTAGCATAGAAACCAAAAAGGCACCAAACTACATGCCCCTTTTAACATGGTGACTGCCATGCATAATTTCACAGGGAGTTCCCATTTGCCAAGCGTCATACGCATGCACACATGTTTAACCACTTCAAGCCGGGGAATTTTTCAATGTTGATGATGCTGGGCCGGCATGACTATCATTTCTTCTGTTTTCAAAATCCTTCAAATATTCATCATTTCATTTAACGGTCGTTTATAGCTGCACGAAGTAATCTTTAGGCACTACTCTAAGTTGACAGGTGACCTTCATTGACACCCGAGTATTTCAGCCAGGCCTGCAGCCTTGTAATCAGAGTCCAGATTGTGCGGTGTTATATAACTTTCTTTTGTTCACAAACCTGGCTCAGTGCACTGCTGACCTCTTTTCAATAGGGGCCAGATTAGCGTGCAGCGGTGCTGTGTGGCTCATCGCTGCGGTGATGGAGCGCTTTTGTCCCCGGTGGTAATCCGCTCGCTCTCAATGCCCCAAACCCTGGTATACGGTTTTAAAACAAGGCTGGATTGTCACCACTTTTGAGAGTGAAAAATGCCGGTAATGCCCAGCAGCCTAGTCTTTTGTTCAGAGTACGGTCTTTTGTTACAGGGCCCTGTTTCCTTTGTCCGAGTTCGGAGACCCTGGCCACGCATATAAACCATACATCTCTGATTCCGTAGTCCCCGGCAGGAAGTGGTTAATAGATACTTTTTGGGTGTCTATTTGAACATGACCATTTTACAGATGTATGTCCTCCTCACTGCCAGCAGCGTATCTGTTGTGCTCTTCGTTGATGCCAGTTTATTAGATTTACATTACAATAGCCTTTGATTTCCTACGAGTGCACTCACAATGGCAGAATACGGTACATGTGTTACTATGAGCGTACTCATAGTCGGCAGTCAGCATGTTAAATTAACAAAACAAAATTAAAAACAAATTACTTAAAGCAAAGAAAATATTACCTTATCCAGAGTTGATCACCAACTAAAATGTTTTGTATTCTGTATTTCTTTTAACTGGTTCTCCAGTGATTTTTACTTAGCATATTCACTTCCATATTGTTTGCTTCACAGCTCTTCCGATTTGGGCATCCTGGGCCTAGAATGTGGTGTAACATGGGGCAAAAAATGTCTACATCCTTCTCGACATAAACACTTTTCATTTTTATTTATTAAGAAAGTGTATACATGTAACCCATTAGTTTACTAAAGCCAAATAGTCAGGCACTGATGGAATGTACACAGGCCATGTACCATTTTGACTAACACTTAACAATGTCCTTTCCTTGAATTCCACAGCTTGGCTGTGTACTACTTCAGAACAGTGACCGTGGGGCGCCAGGCTACCGTCAAACGGCTTAAGCAACAAATTGCACTGGTGAGTTCCTCATACGCAGTTGACATTGGGTACAACACTTTCCCTCACACAATGGGATGCGTGGCACCTGATGTCTGTGTCTATTCTAGAACTTTGAAATTACGGTATCCGGGAAGTGATATACAAAACTTTTGTTACAAAAATTTATCTATTAGAGCAGTGCGAGATAACTTCCAAAAGTTAACTCTGTAAATAATAATTACCGCTAATGGGTCATTAGGGAGACATTCCCATAAGAACGTGCAAAATTTTTCCAACTTTACTGTCCCATAATTCAATATTCCCTAATCTGATCTGAACCAAACTTTGTATATTTTCATTTTAGGCCCTAAACTATCGTCTCTCAAAATATGAACACTAAAATTCAGCCTCCTTCTGGTAGTTTGAAAATAGGAAGACACTGAAATGTCTCCCTAGAAGCCAATGTCTCCCTAATGCTGAAAAATTTACCACCAAATGTCTTCCAAATGACCTATTTGTAAATATAACTGCAAGAATGAAGACATTTTGGGGAAGAAATTGTTTGACAGAGGCAAACCTGGAGCTGTTGAAAGTTTAAGTTTTCAGACCACTAAAAGTCTGAATGTTCTGGTTTCCATGAAAAAAAAAGTCCCAGTAACAGACAGTGCTATTTGCAGAAAAGAAGGCTCTAGTTGCTGTGTCAAAATGGAAGTTGTTACACATGCATGCACATACACTTCTGTACATGTACACGTCAATCCTTATCTCACATTGCTGCTCGCTTGCTGTGGGCTGGTAAACAGGCATACAGAGGAATAGTTTACCTAAAAGGCAGATTAATTGAAAGAAAATGTTTTTGTGGTGTATTCTGTGAAACCAAGCTGAATACATTTACTGTATGCCTGCACTTGACTTGCGTTGGGTTGGAGGGCACATCTGGGGAGAAAGACTCGGACCCAAACCTGAGGTGTGAGATCTGAGTGGATTGTACACAACAGGGCAGGTACTTTACTCAAGCTCTAAATGGGAATTTCCAGATGTCTTGAGCAATAGGGCTGCAGTAACTTTAATGTACGATGTGTGGTGTCACCATAGCAATGATGTCTCTTCTGCTTTACCGTCTATTAATCCGCCCTGAGCGGAACCAAGAGAGGGTGCAAGCTTCCTAGTAACAGAGGGGTTCTTTGGTTGGAACTGTAGCAGGTTCATGAACGAGTACATGTATGAAATGCATGCATTGTGGTTGCATTGCTACCGACAGCATGAACCTTCCCCACCAACACGGCACTTTTTAACCAATGAAGGGGTACATCTGCTCAAGGGGGATACTTTCTATTATTTTTTTTTTACCAGGAGGGCAAAGACAAACTGTTCTTACTGAAGATGCTGCAGAACGCCATCAAGAACCACAACTCGCTGCGGGAGGGCGGCGGTACTACCGTTGACCCAGCAGCAGTGGCAGCCGCGATCCCACCGCCCATGCAAAAGGGAAGGAAGACGCACACCAAGGTGCGGGGAGGGATCCACACCGCACTCTCACCGAAGGTGCAGGATGCGGTGAACAGCGCCGATGTCATCATTCACAGATCTTAGAGACGCAATGACGTCATCACTGAGAGGCGTCTGATGTACATCCTGACACAAGTCCCCCCCTTGTGGTTTGTACTGGGTGTCCTTGTTTTATCTCTGTCGTAGTGGAATACTTGACAAACAGTTTGCTTATTCTTACAATTGGTTCAAAAGCCTCCAAGTCTCAGCTTGAGCCATAGGCCATTGATCAAAGACCAAAGACTGTCTCTTTGTTTTTTGCACCCATTGTAGCAATGGAAGTTCTTGGGAAAGTACTCCTGATCCTGGCAAAGAACATGTCAAATACTTGTGAAGTACTTGACACCAACACTGCATTTTAAACTTTCATTTTCTGTTGGGTGACTCAGAAGACAGAGTAAGGTTGCAATTAATGCACGCACATTAACAGAATTTGAATGTGAAAGGTATTTGCTTTAAAGACTCAAGAGACTAGTTTGGGCTCATAAGTGCAGCCGAAACTTTGACACATTTGTGAAAACCTCACAGAATTTCAAATTCTTTCAAATTCACCACGAATATTAGCAATCCGACGCCAGGTTCACTGGATGCAAGGGAACTGCATGTTGTATCCCAACTAGGGAATCTGAGGTTGAAAAATTTATGCTGGTGAATGGCGACTGCGGAAACAAACTCTGGATTTTTTTCTCAGTGCAAAAAAAAAGAAAAGGACACACACTAAGACAAACGATATGTTCAATGACTTTCTCAATGTCTGTTTTTAGTTTTAACAAAACATTTTTATGCATTTAAACGTTCAACTTGGTATTTGTTGGTGTCATCTGTTTAAAATTTTCAAACATTATATTATTTTTGAACCGATGAATTGTTTTTAACATTGTCACCAGCAGAGTGTACCAGAAATTTGAATCTGTCTTGGTATTTTTAATCAACCCATATTGATAGTAAATCCATGTTAAGGTGATTGTTACATCTGGTTTGTGTTCATTATGCTGTCTTGTTCAGCCCTGTACTTTATAATGATATCCATTTCCTTTGAAACATTTCATAGCATTTGTGAAGGATGGCATTTGTAAATTTTAGCCTTGTTCCAGTAGTAAGCACATGGCTTTATCATTCATAATTTAGGTGGCTTTTGGTCCTTGTTGTAAATATTCCAAGTTCCAAGCAATTTAATTGAATGCGACTTTAAAAAAGGTTTGGTGCAGTCACTCTTTTTCTGGAAATTCAGCATGAATTTGTGGCTGGAATCAGTCCAGCATAAATAAAATTCCCAAGTGGGACACATTTTCATGGTGTTTTTAATAACTGGAGTCATTTCTGGGTTTTGGGCAACACCATGGTTTGTGTAATCCTGATACCACTCGTGGATTGATTTTCATTGAAAACACTTCATGACTTGCACAAGTGAATTCCAGTAGGTCACAAACGTGAGATCACATAGGAATGTAAAATTGCTCTCTTCAATGTGAGCACTGTATTCACCACCATAAGTTATTCTCAAGTTGCTTTTTACAAAGATGGAGAATCATGCTGCTCTTGAAATGCTGCGCACTGTTGAAACATCTGCAGAATGCTTTTTCTTTACAGATTGGAACTCTTGAAATTCCAATTAGAGTTGGCCCAAAATGGTCAGGTGCTGCCTAGAATCAACTCTTGGGGAATTAGAACTAACTGCCACAGGGAATCGGATCCTTCAAGGAACTAAAGCTTGAGTCCAATTCTGTGTATGGAAGTCAATTCTTTGAGTTTCTTTGGGGATCACCAGCCAAACCTCATGATAAATTTAAGAGTGTGTGATTATGTCATTGAAACTGCTTACAAATAAAGATAGAAGCAATATCTGTCAACTGAAATCTAAGTGACCTTTTGAGGTCACAAAGAATTCATCTTTTTAATGTTTTAATTCTCTACTTAGATGAAATATCGATTTTAGTCATCAAATTAATTCATGGGCATTTTAGTTATTAGTTCACTATTTTTCAGATTTTTTTTGAAGATACCACTAAAGGAAAACTTATTGACTCTTTCCCCTTGCTTGGCTAAATCAAGTTTGCTAAAAAAAAATCAAACATAATAGCATGGCTTGGCTTGGCTTGTGCAGACATAGGTTGTAATATTTTTCCAATATCCTGTTCATGAGTGTGACATGATTGCATTTTAACCCTAACCATGCTGAACCCAACAATATCCAACAGTGGGCACTTTCTGTTGGAGTTTGTCGATGAGAGAAATGAACAAAAGGCCTTTGTTCTTGCCGTTGGATTTTGTTGGATTCAGCAAGCTTCACACTTCTTTTGTTGTTGTTGTATTCTGTTGGGTTCACCAGGGTGCCTTGATAAAACTCCAAGTGGTTAGGGTTGAACCATGCCTGCATTGTACATGGTATGGCAGTGGAACTGATGGTCTGTAAGTAGTGCATAGTTGGTAGATCAGCCTGAGGGATATTATAATTTGTATGTGTCATTATAAATGCATGGCGTTTTCCTTGATTTCTTCATTTTCTCCTCAAGTGGTGCATTGTGAGTAAAGTGTGACCTCGGAACTGGCATCTCATTGGACATGGAGAAAAACAATTTGGGGGGAGTGATCGCAACGTTTAGTCTTGTCAGTTTTAAGCCTACTTACGTTGTTCAAACAGGGAGGGTCAACCATTGTTTTTCAGAGTGCCGTGTAAGTAGTAATTTATGAAACATTTGTTATGTAGACACTGTAAAATAATTCTTCAGCTGAAAGTCCTGAAGTAGCATTGATTATAATGGCAGATATGCTCTTACGGTAGTTTTATCATTCGTAATATTTGGAAGACAATGAAGATTTGTTTAATTGTTTTAGTTATTGTTACATTAGGTGTTAATATTTTAATGAAAGAAATTGTAATTTATCATTTAGGTCAAATACAATAATTTTGCATTATCAAGAACGTGGTGTGATTATGCATAACATGATCTGGGCCCAATTTTTCGGCATTGTTTGCCATTGAGCAAATCTTTTCGCTGACCACAACACATGATATGCTTAATGGTAAGCGTATTTTGCAGCGAACATTTTTTGGTTGCTGTGATCAGCATAGAAATTGCATGGGCAGGTGTAGAGATTTGCATTGTTATGTCACTGAGTCGAGCGCATTTTTTCCCTCTGAGATTAGCATGCCTATTGCATTGCTTACTGCTTACGATCTGCATGAAATATGTGGAGCCACTGTAAGCATAAAATCGTGTGCTTAGCAGCACTGTGAAATTGGGCCCAGGTCTTTACGGTGTACTGAATTAATTTCCATTGAATATATCCTGGATCGTTGTACCTATGTGTATATATTGATAATGTGTTACAAATGCTTACATGATGCAAAATGGTTAGTGGATTCTAGATGTTGATCACCAGCGGCGGGATGAAGAAAGAAAGAAATTTGTGACATGGCAAACCTGAATGACTTGTGAGGACTTACAGTGGACTAGTAAGGACTTGCAATCAACTAGTGAGGACCTGTGAAGATTTTACTGCAGTTTTTTCTGGCACACTGGAAGGCAACTTCATGTCACATGCTTGATTGGCTAATGAATTCAATTTTTCCTGAAGACATTGGGAGATTACAATTTTTCAGGAATAATTGTCTGATTTCACATCCGAGATCAAGGTGTCAAGTACTTGTAAAAAAACAAATCAACCGGATGAAGCCTTAGTGCATGCCCACCTGTGCATACCTCTGAGCCTGAAACCGAAACTAATGGATATGTCTTCCAGCCTTGGGTGCGTCATCCATCGTTTATGTGCAGATTAAAACCAAAAACAAACCAAACAAGAACAGAAATCAGTTGATCCTGCACTCATTTGTACATTTACTTGAAAATGCGAGGTGCTTATATTTTACCAAATTTAATGTGGCTGTTCTGAGGTGCAAACATTTTGAAACGAATAGACAATCTTTTTGTGTAAAATTTTCCCATTTTTATCAGATCAATTATCTTTGAGCAATTAATTATACCTCAAAAATTTGCAGCACTGAGAAAAAAGGATACATTTGAAGAGTATTTTACACAGACTTTTGTACATGTGCATGAATTTATTTGTAAACAGAAATGATGGCTTGGTTTTTGGAAAGGAGTGGGTTTGGTGAGTTTTACTTACACCGCTGCCTTGAATGGGTCCAATGAAGTTGAGTAAATCTTGTACAGTAATAAGTGAATTGGCACACGCAATAGAGAGCAAGATTGCATTTCACACATTAAGTATTATTCATTCGTTGAGTTATCAATGCTGTTTGAATATCTTATGCAAGTGGAATTAAGTACATGTATTTTATCAGTCATTCTCTTTATTTTAATACATGTATTTATCTTGGTGATTTTTGTAACGAATTATGGAATGATGCAGAAAACACTATATTTTATGGATCAAGTACATAATTAAATGCAGTTATATATACTGGAAGAAGTTCTTTTCTTTAACTTTGTGGATTTATTGTCTGGATAGGCCGAGTATTATCTATTTTGGTACGTTCGTGCTCCACATAATTAATATGTATTCTTTGATAGTGCTGTTTGTTTTGGGCTAGTCTTTTCTGTGTCATTCCGAAAGTTATCCACCCCCCCCCATCACGAGCGACAACAGTTTTGTGAAGACCCGGGTACGGCATCTGAGCTTAGTTTGGTCGATGGAAGCAGCACTATTTTAGTTTATCAGCTTATCTGTAGCTGTCCCGGGTCACCGCCCATCCCTACAGGCGGCTGGCATGAACTGCCTCATGCACATTGCGCGTTTTTAGTACCCGAAGGTCCACTGTTGGTTGGTCGGTTGGTTGTGGTTAGTGGGTTGGAGTTGGTTAATGGGTTGGTCGTTTGGCGGTCGATAGGTTGGTTTACCATGACATCATTTAAATTAACGTTACATATAGGACTGTTCAACCCTCCAACTGTTCCGATTAGCTCCTTCCAGATAATGATAGTCGTCTCAAAATTTGTTTAATTGACAGTTAAGATTAATTTATTTTGTTACTCATTTTTTAGATGACAGAAAAGTAACCATAGATGTATTTTGTTTACGATGAGATCGCCGCATAAAAAGACAACCATGCACGTTTTGGCGGCTCTTTTTGGGCGCCCCTGCATAGAAATCCATACCCAATCCATAAAAATGAAGGTTATGTTGAACTGGGTTTTAATTATTCACAATCAACGACCATTAGTGGAAAACTTCAAGCATGTAGCTCCCCGCCCCGAGAACGCGCTAAAGGGAACTAACAAAAAATGTTGAATAAAAATATTAATGGTGAAAACATGCGCTGAAAGCGCTGTTTGATGTAGTATTTAGTTGCCATTCACAAATAATCATAACTTTTACGATGTCCATGCGTTTCTTGTATGTAAAAAAATTATTTGAATATTACTTTTTGAATAAGTTTCTATTGATACGTGCAGGGGGTGTAGGTATGCAACGTTGGGTTGGCACACGCGACTGCCCCCGTGCAAAATAATATCCGCATCTCCCAAGTGCCTCCCCCAAGCTGGAAATGAACGAACTTTCTGTGTACACGTATAAGCATGGAGGTACAAGCCACACGTTTATTTGTTATTTTAGTCCTCTGAAAAGTGTCTTAACCCCAGCTCCCCCGGATAAGTCTTACCCCAGTTATTTGGCCCAGTCTACATACATGTACAGGTGCGGGGGGTGTTAACGGCAGCGGTAACAATATAAAACATTATTTATATATGCCTGTTCACAATAATCGGACATTAATAATTGGACATTGAAAGATGACGGGGGACTGGTCCCTCCCACGTACCGGACATGCCCCTGGAATGCGCCTTCAAAAGAATGAGGCAGACAGATATTTGGTAGGGAACCGTGATTTTTATTTAAAAAAAAACAAGAATGAATATTCAGAACACAATTTCTTCACATTTGCCTTGAAAACGAAAAACGTAGTAGATGTCGTATTTATTGGGCACGCCTCGTGCCAAGTCAAGACGTCGCGTTGCCAGGGTGACGTTAGTTTATTGTGGCGGCAGTTGTATAAAGTAAATTTTTTGTAAAGAAGTTTGTTTGCTAATACGGCCGTTTCACAATTGGCATCGGCATTGGCCAATCACAATGCGCGAAATTTGACGACCCAATGTGCGTTTGGAAAGGGTCGACAAATTTTGCACGATATGATTGGCTAACGTGTTGCAAACTCTTGGTGGCGTACTTTTGTGAATCGCCCGTATTGCTGCTGTCACTTCGATTATAAAAAGATTTTTCGTATTAATCCTCACGCGCAGCCATCGTTAATGTTAGGACAGTCAAACCAAGAATCTTTTTTTATCGAGAGAAAGTGCAAAACCCGTAATAAAAAGTGCATTGCACAACGACTTTTTCAGGCTTCCCTTTTTTGGTTGAATTGAAGACAAGAATTAAAGACTTTCTAAATTTTCGTTTTCGTCTTTTATGTTTTTTTTTTAATCGAATGACACTGACACGTTGAACAAAATTAAATCAGATCAGAAATCATAATTACTATTTCATGATAGGCCCCTATATCCCAAATTATGAAATGACAATGTTTTGGGGGAAAATTAGTGAGAATGGACACAAGGCCACATTTTGCTGTTGTTGGCGAGAAAAAAATCACGCTGAAGATAGTAGTGGTGCCAAAACTGATCTGTTGCGTCCGGGCCATGGTAACCCTGCCACAAAAGTTAGCGCCACCAATGTACATTCTGCGGCTCTGGACTGTCCAATCAAATACCCGTTCCGTTCCCATGATACGGTACGCCGAGTGAAGCCGCGTCCAGATTACATGGCTACGCCTTGAAATTACCCACTTTATGTGGGAAATTCATGAAGCCGCTAGCTGGGACCTTCTTTAGTCACATGTGTTATTTGAAGCCGTAGCTTAGTAATAAAATAAGCTCATGAAGTGTTATTACATACCGCGCCGGTGCGAACGTACGTCCAAGACGAAGGCCTACTGATCTGTTTACAAGTTAAGTGCACGACCTTTGTATAGGCCTGGTTCAAGTTGTTTCATTCAGCCGTGATTGCTGATATTCCCAAATTGGACGTTTCTGGTACTTTACAAAGTGCATATAATTCCGACCAGTGACAATGATGTTGTCTATGATCTCGTAGGAGAAAGGACAGCCGACTATAATTTGTATGCCTAGCTAGTAGGGGCCTACCGGTAAGCTATCCGACTTCTTCAAGGACACAGAGAGAGATATCATGGCAGATCTTACTAATATGGGTATGTTTTCCTATCTCCATGGTATAGCTAAATGTGTGTACATCGTTTGAAGTGTTTAAAGTTTCGGAACTTGAGTAAGTATAGGCCTACTAGTAGTACTACCAGTGCTTGGTAGGGGATCAGGTCAACTCGGACCCAAACCAACTGGGACCCATTCCAAGTCGGACCCATGCCAACTCGGACCCACCACCAACTCGGACCCACGCCAACTCGGACCCAATTCAACCCGGACCCACAACCAACTCGGACCCACAACCAACTCGGACCCAAGCCAACTCGGACCCATGCCAACTCGGACCCACGTCGAGTCAACTCGGACCCACTGAGGCTTATGGTTGCATTACACCAAATATACGCACCCGTAGACCGAAATAGCGCCGACCCTCAG